GAGGCAGGAGTTGCTTCGGGAGGAGCTCAGAGCTGCAAACCGCGATGCTGCGCAGCTTGCAGCCACTTGGAAGGGCAGTGGCTTTTTATGTGCTTTATTGTAGTTTTATATTATCACAGATACATATATGTGTATATATATATATACACACACACACCACAAAATGTTTTATTCTGCTATAACAAGCAGGAAACAGGACGGGTCTTCATTTCGGGTCTTGTACCGGTAGGACTTTCCGTGGCTAACGCTTGCCAGAACCGAATAAACCGGTGCCAAACTGCATCCCTTGCAGATGCCGAGTTGTAAGAGCGTGCACTAAACCTTAAACCCTAAATCCAAACCTACACCTTACACTTTAAACGTAAGCATAACCCTAAGCCTACACACTACGCACCAAACCGCGAACCCTAAAACTAAACTAGTACCCTTATCGATCCCTTATAGACCCCTTTAAAGGAACCTTATTCTAATTATTAAGGCCCCTATATTATAATACCCTTAGGTACACTGCTTCTCGCCTGGCAGTGCTTCTCGCCGTCTCTCTGAGGCTGGGCTGCCCGAGCTCCTGGAAAGGCGCAGGGCCGAGGCAGTGGCAGCTGTGGGGGCTTGCCTCAAGGGGCCTAAATAATGAGAGTAGGGCTCCTTTAAAGGTTTACTCGTACTGCAAGGGGTCTACAATGAGTTACCTACACTATTTCGGGGGGCTCCTTGTTATAATTATGGTAGAATATATGCCAAAACTCTATTCTAATTATAAAGGCCGAACCTACTTTGGTTTTAGCGGTTTAGAGGTTTTGCTGTGTTGGGGTTTAGGGTTTTGTGTAAGAGGCAGGTGGGGGCGGGGGTTTGAGGTTTTCAGGGTTTGGTATTGTGGGCTTAGTCACGGTTTCGGGGCTGTTTGAAACTCTTGTAGCCTGCCCCTTGTTGTTAGGTTATGATTGTACTTTGGGGGCTTAGGCTTTAGGGTTCAGGGGTTTTTGTTTAGGGTCTTTATAGGGTTAGGATTGTTAGGAATCAATGATTTTGAATTTAGGGGTTTTCGGGTTTAGGGGTTATCGGGTTTAGGGGTTTTAGGGTTTAGGGCTTTTCGATTTTAACATTTCAGGTTGCAGGATTTTATTTAGGGGTTTGGGGTTCAGGGCTTAGGGGTTTTCGGTTTTTAGGGCTTCGGGTTGCAGGGTTTTAGGGTTTAAGGGTTTTCGGGTTGGGGGGCTTCGGATGGTAGGGTTGTAGGATTTTAAGGTTACGTTTTTTTTTTTTCAGGGTTTAGGTGTTTCAGGTGTAAGGCTGCAGGGATTTAAGGGTTATGAAGTTTCGGGTTGTAAGGTTTCAGGATTCATGGTTTAGGGTTTTATGGTTTCAGGGTTTAGGGGTTTGAAGTTAAGGTTTACGGGTTGTAGGGTCTAGGGATTTTAGGGTTTAATTATATAGGGGGTTGAGGTTTTATGGATTTTAGGGTTATGGGGTTTCTGGTTGTCATTCTTAAGGGTTCATGGTTTTCAGGGGTTTGAGGGTTTCAGGGTTTCGGGTTTCGGGGCTTATGGTTTAGGGGTTTTGGGGTTTAGAGGTGTAAGGGTTGCAGGTGTGCAGGGATTTCCGGTTTCCGGGTTGTGGGGCTTCGGCTAGGGTCTTAGGCTTCTTAGGGTTTTTGGGGATTTTTGAGTTTAGGGGATTCCGGTTTCAGGGTGCCGGTAGTTTAGGGTTATGTCGCTTCTGTAAGGTATTCGGTTTCATGGTTTTCGGGTTTCGGGTTTTATGGCTTCAGAGCATAGGAATTTTAGGGTGCGGCTTGTAGGGTTGGTTTTAGGGTTTAGGGATTGTCAGGTTGAGGGCATTTAGGGTTTCAGGCTTTCAGGATTTTAGGGTTGCGGGGTCCTGGCAGCAGGGTTTTGGAGTTCATGGTTTTCGGGTTTAGGGGGTTGAGGTTTCAACTGTTGAGGGATTTTCGGGTTTAGGGCTTCGGGTTGTAGGGTTGAGTGATTTTCGGGTTTAGGGGTTCTAGGGTTGGGGGGATTTCCGGTTGAGGGGTTTCGGTGTTCATGGTTTTCGGGTTTAGGGTGTTTATGGTTTCAGGGTGCAGGGATTTTCGCGTTTGGGGTTTGGGGTTGTAGGGTTTTAGGTTAAAGGGGTTTCAGGGTGTAAGGATTTTGAGGTTAAGGGGTTCTGGTTCTGGGGTATGGTCCTCGGGTTTAGGGGGTTCAAGGTTCAGTTGTTGAACAATTTTTCGAGTTTTCGGGCTTCGGGTTGATTGTACGGCTTAGTGATTTTCGGGTTTAGGGGTTCTAGGGTTTTCAGGGTTTCGGGATGTCGCGTTTAGGGTTTGAGGATGTAGGGTTGGAGGTTTTAAGGATACTAGGGTTTTAGGGTTTAAGAATTTTAGGGTTACGGGGTTCTGGTTGTAGGGTCTTTGGGTGCATAGTTTTCGGGTTTAGGGGGTTTAGGGTTCAGTTGTTGAAGGATTTTCGTGTTTTAGGGCCTCGGGTTGTAGGGTTTAGTGATTTTCGGGTTCAGGGGCTCCAGGGTTTATAGGGATTTTAGGGTTGTGAGGTTTCTGGTTTTGGGGTTCATGGTTTTCGGGTTTAGGGGTTTTATGATTACAGGGTTTAGGGATTTTCGTGTCCAGGGTTTGGGGTTGCAGAGTTTTTAGGTTTAAGGGGGTTGCAGGGTTTCAGGATATTGCAGGGTTTGGGGGTTCATGGTTTTCGGGTTTAGCGGTGGGCGGTTTTAGGGTTTAGGGATTTTCGGGTTGCAGGGTTGTGGGGTTCATGTTTGTCGGGTTTCGTGCTGTGGGGTTTTAGGGTTTGGTTTTGGATCCGGAGCCTAGGGCCTGCCGTGGCCTGCCTAGGGCCCAGGACTTCGAGGGGAGAGGTGAAGTTTCAGCTATTCGCGTCGTAATGCCCTCGACTTTGTTGGAATTCGGTTTGATCGGGGAGATGCTGACGCTGCTGTGGGCTCACGGGAGGAAGTGTAGCATCCCGCTTTTGCGTACCCGGGCTCGCCTGACATTTCAACGAAGGAACACAGATGGCATCGCAGACAGCACCCGAACTGTGTTGCAAGGTCCAGCAGCGGCAGCGCCATGCCGCTGAGCTCCACCGCGAAGGCATGGCTTCAGAGGCCTTTGAGCTCATGAGACACAGGGGTAGAAGAGCGCTGCAGACGATCAAATCACCGCAACTGCAACCTGTCACCGTCAGCAGGCCTGCATCAAAAAGCTCCAGGAGGGGCCCTGGTCGAGGGTGCAGCTTCTGTCCAGTTTTTTCTTTTTTTGGAGAAGAACTTCCGGAAGTCAAAGACCCACGTTTTCCGAATCGGAATATGGTGTATGCAGTGGCAACGGTCTTCATTCCTAGACAACCTTGGGCAGAAGACTCCCAAGTGCAGCCGTGCAGAACCCTTCACCCAGAATGCCAACTTTATCCGTACCTGACCTCAGGTGTCCTACGATCTGGTCTTCATCTTGCATTAGATGGAGTACTGCTCCAAGTTATCACCGTATTATGGGGAGCCGACCCGACCCAGCATCACGGAACAAATTTGGGACACCACATCGCTGACGAGCCACCAGAATCACCAGAGACTCGACTCGTGCATTTTCTACACGTCCTAACCGACAAGCCTTCATCCTAAGCCTTAAACCCTAACGTCCTGCCCTGACACCCTGCCGGCCCACCCACCTTCAGGCCCCATGTTAACATGCGACGACTGAGCCCCAAGTCCCAAGCCGAAAGCCCCAAACAGCCTTTCAAACCCGGAAACTCACCTCTCCTCCGCCCGACTCCCACAGTACTGCAGTAGACAGATTACCTTGTGTGTCGAGGGATCTAAAAAGCCGGGGGGGGGCGACAAGCGGGATAGCATATGGTGCGCTGGCGGGTTTTCATGTGGAGGGACACGGTTTCTCAGTCACATGGGGTTTAAAACGAGACCCGTTAGGGCTTATATAAGGCTTAAGGTGAGGGGAGCGCAGGGGATGCCATCAATTAAGGGGGGAAGGGACTGGAAAAGCGATGCTCGCACACGAAAAAGCCCCTCAAGCCACCCAAAGTACTGTAAGGGTCCACAAACACCCTCCTAACCCGCCGAAAATCAGCTTGCCAGCTCCAGGAGGAGTTTTCCGAGGCCGAGTCTGAGGCCTTGAAGCTGAAGAAAGCTGCAGAGCTCTGGCCAGCGAGGCAGAGCTCCAAGAAGGCCCGGAAGGAGGAGCTTACTATGAAGTTTTGCTAAAAGGGTTCCTTTAAACGGGCTGTTTAAAGCTTCTACACTACAAGGGTTTCGAAAGGGCTGTTACAAACAAGGGTTATGAAAAGGCTTTACTGGCTCGACTAGAAGGGTTGCTACAAGGATTGCTAGAACGGCTGCTGTTGTAGAAAGGGTTTCAGAAGGGTTCTATGAAGCATTCTCGAAGTTTAACTCGTAGGGTTGAGGGTTTAGGGTAAAGTCATGCCAGGCGGGCTCCAATCAAGCCTGTGTTAGGGCCAACGGCAATGCATGCCCACTCCTCGGTCAACAGGATAGAAGGCTGTAAGGCCTCTAGACTTGAGCCCGACGGTGAAGACCAAGATTGCCAAGATCGTGTCTAAGAGTTTTACGTGGCCCTGCAACAATAGTTAATACGCGGCCCCATGCAAACGATAGATTCAGAGGCCCCTCCCTCCTCGCTCCCTTAAGGTCAATCCGTTTAAGCAACATGGCAACGGCAGGAATTGCGGAATGCGGTTGTGGTCCGTTGGCAAGCTCCCCTAGATGCCAGACTGGACCCTACCCTGCCTGCCCTGCCTTGCCATGAAATATTATATGTTCAGCTTCGCACATTCAAAACTGGAGACTCACGCGACAAGCTCCAGAATTCAGTTGTTTCTTCTTCAGCATGCATTATTACAGGCTACACCCTTTTGATAATTAATTGCCTGTCGTCAATGCGGCCAAAAATTACACGCCGGTTTAAGTGATCGACTGACTACCGTCTAGTAACTTCACAGTTTTTTGTCGTTGCGGGCATGGGGATTTGCCACGAAACCACAGGGGTAGACGTCTGGACCTTGCAAGGGAGTACTATAGAAGCCTAAATGATTACCAATATTACGTTGGGGGTTCCTCATTATAATTTAGTATAATGGCACCAAAACCCTATTCTAGTTATTAAGGCCCCTATATTACACTCCATACACGTCCTATTGTCTTCGAGACGGATGCCGCAATCCTCATCTCCAGCAGCGCGTAGCCCCAATACCTCAAAGCACGAACCCTCAACTGCATAATCAAATGGGAGTTTCCGAAAATAGGGAACCCTAATACAGCACTCGAGATAGTAGGATCCTTCTTATAGGGACCCCAACATAAGGTACCCCTAATTTTCGGAAACTCCCAAATCTTGGTCCCAAACCAAGAACTGCACACCAACCACGTGGAGGCAGAGCTGGCAGAAGCCCAGCAGGAACTGGAAGCCCTCGTGGCGAAACATTCCAATGCCAAGGTGCTTCGGCAAAAAAGAGGGTCGGCAGTGATCTTCTTGTTCCGGGATCCACAGTTTGAAGCTGGTGCTTTGTGAGCAGATCCATTGCAGACCAATCCCAGTGCATTCCCTGTTCTCTCCGGGATGCCACTGCCAAATTTCTGACAGGATCAGGGCACGAGTGTGTAGCGATTCGATGCAGCCGAATCGAGGCTTGGATTCAACAGATCTACCACGGCCATCTGAACCGGGAGAGCATGGAGAGGGCAGTGCACTTGCGCGGTCATCACATCCCGAACCTGGAGATGCAGTCGGCTAAACTCGAACAGCAGCTGGCCGATCAAAGGGAGCGCTATGAGGCACAGTGCCTCGCACAGCAGCTCGAGGTGGAGACGCTGAAAAGGAGTTTGGCCCTGCGCACGACGAGACTGCGGGCAAAGGAGCAGGCCGGGGCAGAGATAGGATTTCTCGGTATATTTATTTTGATAAGGATCCCCCAAACCCTATTGAAACTATTAAGTCCCCTACCATGCATGGGAGAGCCGAAGCAGTGTTGACCGTGCCTGAATGCTTGAACCCCTGCAGGAAAGTGCCTGGCTCCAAACACGTGCTGAGGCCTTGGAGCAGGAGCTTACCCATCTTCACAGCCTGCGAGCTGGCCATCTCCAGAACCTGCGTACGGCCATGACTTCCACGCCTCATTCTGCCTCTGCCCAGTCTCCGCAGTCCCACCCTGGCCATCCCAGATCGGAGAGTCCCGAGTCCTTTGCCTCGGCGCCCCGAGTCTCAGCTAATGCCATCGAACAGAAAAGTGGAGCTCAGCCCTATTTGATGCTGGCTGCCGGAAGGAGCAGTGAGTAGTGCCCGATGAAGCTTGGGCCCTAGCCCAGCAGCCGTTGTTGCCGTTGCCGTTTGCCCAAGTCGTACGTGTAGCTCGCAGCACCCCATGTGTTTCACATAGGGGCCTCAATGATTAGAGTAGGGTTTTGGGGCCCACTTTACTATAACTATAATAAGCAACCCCCAAATAGTATTTTTAATTCTGTGGGCCCCTCTACTATTCACGCCCTGCCGGCGGCTTGCGCTGGCAGGGCGTAAGTCAGCGTAAGATCCTTAAAGTTCTACTGGACTTGCTTTGGACCCCCAGAAGATTAAAGCCTCTCGCCGTACCCTTCCAACTCGCATCCGCACCCCACATGCAGGTTTGAAACCGCAAATTCTGGAGTCGGTGTCCTCGCGGCACACCGCCTTAAAGCCAGAACCCTCCCTCCAACCCCGGTGTCAGCCTTCAGCTGAAGGCCTGAATCCAAAAGCCCAGCAGCCCCAATCCCCGCTCGTCAAGCCATGTCGAAGCGCATCAGCTTTGAGGATGCGGCTGAGGTGCGCTTTACCAGTACCCCTGGACCTTGTAGACCCTACTTGGAGGTTCATGGGTAGTTATAAGTAGGGTTATAAGTCCCCTAACATGGGTTATAGGTACATTTACCCTACTTATAACCCTACTTATAACTACCCATGAACCTCCAAGTACACTCTCAGCCTTAAGACCCGATGCAAAGCACAGGAGAATGAAGCAGGGCCACGGAAAGCCGACTTCTTCGCTGCCCGGCGCACGATGCAGCGCCCTGCCGAAGACGATCTTGTGGAAGTGGGCCAGTAGTAGTAGTAGTAGTAGTAGTAGTAGTAGTAGTAGTAGTAGTAGTAGTAGTAGTAGTAGTAGTAGTAGTAGTAGTAGTAGTAGTAGTAGTAGTAGTAGTAGTAGTAGTAGTAGTCGTAGTCATAGTCGTAGTCGTAGTCGTAGTCGTAGTCGAAGTCGTAGTCGTAGTCGTAGTCGTAGTCGTAGTCGTAGTCGTAGTCGTAGTCGTAGTCGTAGTCGTAGTAGTAGTAGTAGTAGTAGTCGTAGTCATAGTCGTAGTCGTAGTCGTAGTCGTAGCCGTAGCCGTAGCCGTAGTCGTAGTCGTAGTCGTAGTCGTAGTCGTAGTAGTAGTAGTAGTAGTGGTGGTGGTGGTGGTGGTGGTGGTGGTGGTGGTGGAAGTGGGCACCAGGGACCTGGCCTAGTGCTGAAGGGGCCCACATAGAACATTGACATAGTGGACATTGAAAGTTATCAATTCTTGGCACTTTGGTGCTGGCGACCATGAACATCAGTATCATATTATGCCCCCCCATGCAACTGCTGCCTATGTCAGCCTGTCTTGTTATGAGTTATGATGTTGGATATCGCGGCGCTTGCTATTGTCTACATCGGCATGCGTGATGCTCTGAGTTATGCATTCGCAGTTCAGCATCACAAGCGGCACTACCATAAGCTGCAAGAGCTGCCACTACTGCTGCTGCTGCCTGTCCCTGATGAAAGATGACGAGGGCTTGTTGCTTGCACCCGGTGCACTTTCTTGTGGTCGTCTTTCTGGCCACTGCAAGGCTAGACGAATCTCTGTAATCTTCAGAAGGCCTGTCCCTCTCAGTGTGCGTGGATTTACAAATCGTCGTCCTCGGTCTCCTGTTCCGTGTGTTCTCGTTCTGCCGGCTTGGCATCGTCAACGCAACCGATTTGTGGCAGGCCCTTTGCGCAATTGCTCCGTGATTTCGTGTCTAGTCGCATGACCACTTTGTGCTCACGTGGCTCACATGGCAAGGCCGAATGCCCACCCACGGGCCTCCATGCTTCAAGTCAAGCCTGCAGAAGGCCTTGTCCGGGCCTTGCTTGTGCTGGCCGATGTCTCATGGTTTGAGCTAATCCACTGCAGACCATGCCTGACCTAATCAAGCTCACCCTCCATGTGTTCTGAATTCTTCGGAGTGGTTTCGCTGATGTTGACTTGCTGTCCCGACTGGTGTCGAAACTGCCACGTGTTCCATGTGTTGGTGCAATACGGACATAAGCAGAGGCACACGTACATACATACATGCATACATACATACATTCCCGCGTCCATGCATGCATTGATACACTCGCTAAAACAGTGGCACGACGTGCCGCATAATACTGTAGTTTATAACTTTATAACATGTAGAACAGCTGCATTAATACAGCCGGTCAAACATGCTGAGTTGTCGATCGCTGATTTCGGAAACCTGCGGCAGGGAGATTGGATTCCTTTTCCCCTAGCTGGTTTCCTTGGCCTGCAGGCAAAAGAGCTACTAGAACCAGCGTGGATGCAGCCACCGCCGATGCCCCAGGCAGACTGTAGGTAGGCTCGACAAGAGATGGATCTACGCAGTCCATTCCGGCTTCGATACTTCGGCGCTCCCTTGTCAGTTTCCAGAGCTCAAAGCCCAGTTAACGAAAGCATAGTCTTCCCCCTGCTAGGGTGTCGGAAGATGGGCGCTTCCCGTCTTGCTGTCGTGCATGGGTCTGTTGGTGGAAGAACCAACCGAAAGTTGATACAAGAGTTTCAATGGATCCCACGCTGGCCGTACGTTGAAAGAGGTTTCTTGCAATCTTAAAAGCCCTGAGCCAGCAGGCCATATTCAGGCCTCTTACTTCCACCCCAGACGTATGATGGTAGCGGCACATATGTAGACGAAAAACCATCCCTGTGGTCGGGGAATGATTACTAGTAAATCATAACTGGATGAACCAGAGTGGACCAGATTCACGGACAGTTAGCATGACCAATCATCTAGCTTGGGACGCCGCGGGACTCTCCTGAGGGCAACTCGGATTCCATGTTCGGCGCGCTGAGGACCCGAAAAAAACACGGGGTGTGTGGGGTTCTGGGGAGGCTACGCTTGTCAGGATTTCGGCAGAGCCTTGTTCTTGCAGGCGAAGGCTGTTTGGCAGGCTTTCTCGGCTCGCCTTTACGGAGTCAGTAGCAGCCTTAGGCTCGTGAAGCCCGAAGCATGAAATCCCCTGACAGACGTGGGCATGCGGTCAACGTTGGCATCTCATCGATCATGATCGAGCAGGACCTCGTTGAGGCCGAATGTCGACTTCGTGTGATCATCGCGTACACGATTCCGCACCGCGACCATCGCGGTCACCGCGACCAGCACTACCCCGAACCAGTACCAACGCCAGTTTGAAGGTGTTCAATTCAGTATTTCGGAGCTTCCTCTCAGGTGCCCATGTTCAAGAACTGCAGCGCCAGCTTCATCAGCCGCCTCGCGCAGGTCGCCACAAGTAACTGGACAACTTGCTTCGGGATGTCAAGGGCTACGCTGGGTTACAGATAACGATTGGCAGTTCTGTATGCTCCGATTCTTCTTCTCTTCTTGTAGGTCTTGCCAGTCAGACGGAGACAGACTGCATTACATGCGGATTCTTGAAACTGCGATGCTTTCTGTTATGTCTGACTTGCACTAGCTGCGTGCAGGATGCCTCGGAAACCACCCGAGCGTTTGGCTTTGGGCAGGCCGTGCACGAGGCAGGGGCGTCACGTGGCCACTGTGGAAACTCAGCGAGAGAGCCGGTCTCGAGTGGTCTCCCCAGGTGGGTGATGCCGGTAAGAGCATGGTTCTGGTTCTCCGCGGGAGCCTGGTGGTCAAGAAGAAGGCTCGTCGGATGTCTCTTGTTCTGGAGTGCACTCGTACACAGACTTCTTTACTGTAACTTGCTGCTGCCCGTTGCTCTTCGGCGTGCCCTTCAGGGGGAGGAGCTGCTGCAGCTTGGCCGTGCCATGTTTTTGGTGTCTTAGATTGTTAGTGCTTAGGAGCTTCCGGCGCTGTATACATGCATCATGTGCCGCTTCGCGGAGCTATCTACTTAGTCCCTTAGTGTCTTTTTCAAGCATGTGCGGACTTCTTGATTTGTGCAAGTGCTATATAATATGTCTGTGTGTCTATGTGTATGAGATCATGGCCTCGGGTTTCCCGATCTCGGCAGGGCAAGTCAAGGTAGCATGTCCACCTGCACAGGAAAACGCAGGACTGTCCACATCCATAGAGAGAGGCCGGGGAGGAGGTGACAGGCCGAACCCTGATCGTATGCATGTATTAGGTATATGTATGTATGTACGTACGTAGGTATGCATGTATGGATGGAGGGTTGGATGGATGGATGGATGCCAATGTCTGCATTCGGTTGCAATGCCGTTAAAAGCAACTAGTTCAAGCAAGACAAGGTAAGAGCTCCTGTGAAGGCGCATCGTGGAAGGGGGGAGGTTTGTCACTATACTTCCACTCTTTCATTAATGTTGTGCTCTCGCAGCACATGGAGGCCCCGCAACCGGCAGTGAGAGACGAATGTGGCCTGTGTGGAGCCAGTGCTTGTTTTGCTTGCAGCGCACGCTCGCGTACTGTGTTCTACCGCGCAACGAATGTGGAGCAGCGGGGAGAACATGAAGCATCGAGCAAACACTGGCACTTCAACACGGAAAAGAAGAACATATGTAGGTACGTACGTACGTACGTGGGGAGGTAGGTAGGTAGGTAAGTGCGTAGAGGCCCCTCCCGCCAGATCTACGTGGGATGCGCCATGGATCAGAGTACACTCTACTCCCAACCATGCCCATGCAAACGTCTGCTTCTGTGCACATAGACACACACACACACACACATCAATGCAGAGGTGGCTGGAGAGATAAGCAAATGGACAGTGATGGAGCCTAGATGGTTGTAGTTGGATGTGGTCGGCAGCTGAGTTCCCATTGGTTGCATTCCCGCAACATCTGAGGACACTGGAGCAAGGCTCACACTACGGAGAAACCATGCTCCTGAGCCTTGAGCAGGTGCCTGGGCTCTTACCCTCGAAGACAAGAGCTTGAGGAGAGGAGTGTTGAGAAAAAGCACCCGCAGTTTGATGATTTTGTACCGGGTCGCAGCAGAACCTTTCGGAATTCACGGGCTTGCGTCTTCTGTGCCATGCACGACCCGCTGTACTGGGGTCCTCCTCGAAGACCTTGCAAATGTGCCTGAAGAAGGTCTGGCGAGTGTCCCTGGTGGCATACTCATCTAGCAGCTTGTCTCCATGTTTCTCGAAGTGAAGGCGCCGGAGAGACTACTGAAGCAAGAAGCCCGAACCTTTGTAGCTGCAGGAAAGACCCATGGGGGGAAGTGCAATTCAAAGCACCAGTCAAGATACCATGCGTCCTGTAAGTCTTCAGGATTTGTTGGAACGGATTTGTCTGCATGTCCACCTTAACTCCCCGCGCTGTGGTTGTACCAAAAAGTATGCGTCCGCCTAGGGTTCCCATTGATTGGGCTGTGCGTAGCTGTTGCAAAGGCAGGAGCAGGTACAGGTGAACGGAGGGAAAAGTGAGTGTGTAGTCCCTTCGGTAGATGCCGCTCTCAAAGGAGTCTGAACCCAGAACCGTTGGCTAAAGCATACATTTCTGAACTGGAGCATTTTCTGAGCTTATGCAAACTGCCGCCTTTAGTCCTGGACCTGAAACTTTTGGCTCCTACACTAACCCGCTAGACCTTAAGCGCCAAAGCCTTCCTAGAGAAAATTTGGAGGATCATGGGATTCAGCAAATGCAGTTGTAAGTTACAAGTATCATACCCGGAGGTATAACTGATTGGAAGTATAGTTACCTTGCTTATCACCCCAGTTACTAAGATTTACTAAGTTCCGTGATCCTTTGAGAAGGTCTGATCCTGAAGGCTTCTCGGACCACAAAAGACCTCTACATATAGCCCTTCAAAGGCCTGTAACACCTTGTAACAAAACCCTGTAACATAGCATAAAGCTTCTTATGAAGCCTCGGCTCCACTCCTCATCTAAGTTCTATGCCCGAGCCCGCGATGGAGCCGCAGAAAGTTGACTCTAAACCCTCTGTGAGCGTCACAAAACCCTACTTGGAGGTTCATGGGTAGTTATACGGAGGGTTATAAGTCCCCTAATATGGGTTATAGGTACAGTTACCCTACTTATAACCCTTATAGCTACCCATGAACCCTAAAGCCTATACCCTTATAGAATCCCTATAGATCCCTTTTAAGGGGCCCCTAAAAGCCCCTACTTATAGCTACCCATGAACCTGCAAGTAACCCAGGTATGGTTTGCGAGATTCGTCGGGAGTCCTTTCGGCGACTGCTTGAGGATCTCGGTAAAGTTAAGGGGAGTTGGGACTTTGTAGGGTCTGAGGATGTAGGGCTTGAGGATGCAGGTTTTGAAGGCATAGGTGAGGATTTAGACTTTGAGGAGGGCATGGGGTTTAGGATTTAGGGCTGAGAGATGTTGGGTTTGGGAAAGCAGGTGCATCATGCGCAGGGCTTGATCTTGTAGGGCATTGTAGGGTTTGAGAACTTCGTGTTTGGGATTTAGGTTTGAGAAATGAGGGTTTGAGGGTTTAGGGTTTGGGATGTAGCAAAATAAACCTGAAGGTTTTGTACTTTTTCATGCGTTTCTAGATGGGTTTACTGGTGGTGTGCTTCCTATCCGCGTTTTCCTCGTTTCATAGACGTTATGCCTTGTGTTCATAGGGGGATTCATATGATCACTTTGGTGGCTTAGTTTACGCTGATGGGGGGGGGGGGCGGGTGGGCGGGTTTTGCGTGCTATGTTCATCACAGCAAGGACTCCCCCCGGCCGCCCTCGCTCCACCCCCTTTCAGGATTCAGGGTTTGCAAGCCCCAAGCCCGAAGTCTGTCGCAGGACTTCCCGGCCGAAGCCCAGCAGTACGAGAGCCTTGGGCTGCGTGGGGGTCTTTCTGGAGTGCAAGAGGTTCGGGGGCTTAGTATACTAGGGTCTATAGGGGGTTCCTGATTATAGTCATATCATAATGCAACCCCAAACCCTATTCTAATTATTACGGCCCTTAAAAAACAGTTCAGGGTCAGAAGCTTTCGTGTTGAGATGCACGGTTAGCCCACCGAACTCCCTGTGCAGTCTCACAACAACACTACACGTGCATTCAGTTTCACGGCCTGGGAAAGAAACCAGGAATCTAAGATGGCACGATGCCGTTGAAGCACTGTGTTTCCAGGCCGTGAAACAAGACATTGCTTTATCGGTCACTATAGTCTGGAGATGCAGGACCTCGAAAGGAGTCGTTTTGCTGCCTCGTGTAGTCGAGATGTCTGTCTGCGCTTAACTGCCTGATCTGCTTCTTTTGCTGTTTTCCCATCGCCGGTCTGGTCCCATGCACGGGGCTCTGCGCAGAAACACGAATCGTGAGCATTCTTGCTTTCAGGCCGTGCGATCTCTTTCGTACTCTATATAACTCCTCGCAAATCCTCGCAAGGATCGCAGTTCTCTCCCTCAACGGCCCTCCCCTACTCGTAAAGCTTAAGGACCTTCTTCGACCTCGCGATGGACCGGCTGTTTTCCGGAACCCGGACGCACACCTGCGACATCTTCACGGGGCTCTCGCAGAAGATGCAGCTCAGCGGGATGGGCATGGCCCAATGCAAATACTTAAAGCAACTGACGAAGTAGTAGATGTAGCTTGGGAGGGAGGTGTTAATGTTTGCCTTGGCTAATGTGCTGAGAGTGGGCCAATGTGCCGTCGTTGCGACTGGGATCCTCGCTGTGGTACGTCCGAGAGTGAGTGCTGAAAGCAACTGAAGAGCTCAGGGGGATATGTGCCTGCAGGTGAAATTATAGGGTATATGTGGTGTGCAAGTGCATGACTACGGTATGTATTTATATGGTTACAAGTATATAGATACTTGAATGGTTGCGTGCGGTACGTGTATATACGGGTTGTTTTTGTAGTCATTAGTCGTCGCTCCCGTCTTTGCTCTTTCTTTAGACAAGCAGACGATTTGCAAGTCATACTGGCGACCGGCATTGCTTCACAAGAGAGCTGCGCCAAAGCCAACCTTATGCATTCAACAATGCCACGCAAACTCAGCGCAGCTTGAGGCTAGAAGCCTTCGACGAGCACATGCTGCGGAGGGTTTATTTCCCTGGAGAGATAGCAGCTTACCTCATTTGTGCAAGGCTGCTTTTCCTTTCCTTCTGGGCTATCGTGGCCGTTTTGTCTGTTGCGAGATTGCACTTTTCATCAAATCCTGGAGACCCGAAGTCCCGAAGCCAATCCGGGCTCCCCTCTGAGGTTTTGCACGATGGACCGAAAAGTAAGGAGCTTGTGCTCCTGCAGGACGGTATGGCCGCGGTGGAAATCGCTTCCTGCAAGCAAACTAGAAAGGTTTTCGGGACTTGTGCCGCCGTGTACAGACGCCGCAGTACTTTGGGTTTGGGTGCTTTTGGGTTTCACACCTTGCCTGTCATGGTTTGCGGATGTCTAGTTCACACCCGCATGGTTAATTCATGCTGCTGCCAATCGGAGCTTTACCGAGCACTTTCTGCTGTCGGAAGCGCATCTTTCGGTCTCCGCGACATTGGCACGAATCACCACCCCAACCGCTGGCATCATGGCTTCCCCATGCGCAGTCGTCACTTTAACTTCCACGTGAATGTTGCATTGTCACCAGTACCACATGCAGCATGATAATGACTATCTCTGCCGTCGCAGTCGCTGCCCCTTCTCGTCACAGCTGTCAGGCTGGTCGCACTGTGCGAACCGAGACCAGGGGCAAGAAGGCACATCGTTCGCAAAGCAGGTTTGGAAACTAGCCGCTTTTGGTTGGGGCGCCGACCATCGCATAATGTTGCTGCCAAGCAGCCCAATTGGAGTTCTAGGTTCGTGGGCAATGTCCTAAAGTGCAGCCTGCGTGCAGGACGATATTGGCGGGCGGGCTCGACTGAGATCAGACATGATGTCAGACGATGATGGCGAAGAAGAGGAGGCCGTGGCTGAGCGTCGTGTCTAGCGATCAAGACCCGGCGCGCTCGGAAACAGCAGGGAGCCTTACTGGAACATCACTGCCAACAGGTGGGGCGCAAGCTGCTTCCACGCGTTTTGTGTTCCGTGGAGGAGGGTTTTGATCGGCCCTTTCCCCGATAGACGGTTATTTGGGGTACGGAAGCAGGCGGTAGTTATGTAGATTGAAATTTAGAGCCCTGTCCGTTCGCTGGTTCACCACGCGACCCCACAAGATACATGGTGCCCAAACACCAGGCTCCCATGTGGGTGCCAGAAAACTAAATCAAGCAACTTGCTTGCTGCCTCCCATTCTTGTTGCCAGTTTACCTCCCTTCGAACTCCTGGATTTCTGAGCAGCTGTATCGTGACTTCGACTTTGACGACTTCACCCACCACTCTTCGTAAGTGTGGTGTTGCTACCAGATACCATTGTTTGGCTTTTGCTGTTGTGCTTCTTGTCTTGATTGTCCTGCCTTTTCTTATATATGCGTCCAGCTGAAACTGGAAAGCACAGGTAGAGGAGGATGATCGGCCAGCTTGCTTTGGCGAGTTGGAGTTCTTGGGACTCAGCCCTGTGCGGAAGACTGCAGCGTGCCTGAACTATGGTTTGGGGATGTTTTGGGACTTCGGGTTCGGTGTCAAAGAACAGTGAATCGAACGGTTATGCGAAAGAAGTAGCAGGCACTGAAAACAGTGGCAACCTTAGTAGCAACAGTTGAATATGTAGTGGTCACAATAACAGTGTCGGTTTCTAGCACCCGTTTGATGTCAACGTCGTCGACAGTGTGAGTAGCTGCTTAGCACTGCTTGGTAAGGATATTCTTCAGAATGCCCACATGATGTCTTGTCCTTCGTCTGTTAGTTTTGCCCTAGGGTTCAGGGGTTAGATGCCCCGTTAAAAGCCTCAAGAGAAAAACAAATGCGGCGCAGATGTGCCAGCAGTGAATTGGAGAAGCGGCCGTTCATGGCATTTGAGTGGTTCCTTGTCGGCTGCTAGGGGAGTAGAGTCACTACGTAGACTCCTTATGCTTGGATCGTACATTCGTTGACACCTTTGTCAACGATAGCAGGGCTTGTGTTCCAACCGCGAGTTCGCAGGAAGCTGAGAGGAATCAGCGTGTTTGAAAGATGCTGTGTATAAAGTTAGGCCAGGTTGCCGCGGATTAGTCGTATAGAGGTTTACTCCATGACCTCCGGCGGTTGAGATTGCATTGAAGGAAAAAACAAACGTCCGCAAAAGTGCACCTACCCAGGCCGTCAAAGCTTTGACTCCGTGTGTGTGCAGGCCCGGCTGTTCCTGAAGCTCGCTCCGGGTAGGCATCTATGCTTCCAACAGACATATCTAGGTACATACATCCATCTTTACCTATGTACATACAGACATGCATGAATATGCAAGCATGCGTACATGCATGCATGACAAACAAGCACCAGGTCTGAGATTTGTCATCCATGCATTCGGCCCCGTCTGTACCCATGCCTCGTAATAGATGAAATCACTGCACATAGGATATTCGGAATGCAAGATGCGACCACGCTGGTATGCTTGGTATGCGACGCTGTTTGGTGTCGACGTCTGCGTCGCATATTGCACAGACCGTACGGTCCATGGTCCTGTTCTCGTCCGGATCATGAAATCGAGCGAAGCGCTCGTGTTAGTGCGATCTCGGCTCGGATGCATCAACTGCCAAGCTTTACTATCTCGTCGCAAGTCTGAACCTTGCATTTTTCAAGATCCCAACACCCAGCATCAAGAGCAAGTGCTCATTCATGTCCTAAACTCCTACACACGTTCTCTTGCATTCGTGATGCCTGGCACACCGAGAAGGCTGCATGTTTCGGGAGTGAGACAGATATCGATGCCAAGACTTTTACTTCTAAGCCGAAGCAAGAGTCACGTTGTTACATACGCATGACGCAGTGCTTCAACCCCTGTCATCATCCGGCTGCCAGGTGTTTCTTGAAATCCGAAACCGTTTACGTGCAAACCCGAAGCCACGACCCTTTCAGATTTCTGCAGGATTCTCAACCGTGAGATGGTCTTGCACGTTGCCAGGGACACGGACATGGAGGTCTACAGTGCCATGGCCCGTCATTGCTTCAAGGTCCAGGATGTTCCGAAATGCCAAGCCTTGCCACAGAGTCGTACCGACGAAATCCAATGTTCTTCTTATGGTAGGCACCCAGAGAACCCAATATCCCTTAATTAAGGAATATACCTCAAGATATAGAGGCCTTAATATTATGATTTAAGGTCTATTCCTTAATTAAGAGGTATTGGGATCTCTGGGCAGCTCTGGATCCGAAACCCATCCGTAGCAGTGGGCAGATGTCATTGGCTGCGCGGGGCCTGCGATGTCTGAGTGCCCATAAGCTGCCAAGGCAGCATGCTTCTGCAGATGTTCCAGAAGACGGTGCACAAAACGAGTGCCGAGCAGGACAAGTGTTTTTCCTCTGGTCATGTCAGGCGGATAAGCCTACAGTAACCACCTTAAAAGCTTTCAACCCTACGAGAAACCCTGAACCGTAAAGGTATGAGAACGCTGAATCCTACCAGGGAGTGGGGCTCTCGCAGCTTTCTCGTGTTTGCTCACTCTCACTCGTGCAGGCCAGTGTGCTCATGGACTTCATCTCGGCAGGCTGCAGTGATGAGTTCCTCCAGCAACCTGGCTATGTACGTGCATATCATGATATACCAGCCCAAGGGCTGATGCTGTGACACCTTAGTCTTGGGAGCGCCAGTCACCCGGAGCTCCTCTCGGTTGACTCCACAAGTTGATGAGCACAGTATCCGAAAGCAGTTGCTGACGTGTATCATAGGTCTGTGCGCTCCGATTGAATAGCCATATATGCGATGTTTCGGAACATGCTAGACTTGTGGTTTGTTTGGAACTGAGGCTTTAGCCTGGACTCGGGTCTGCAAGCGTCTGTTAAAAGCAGATGACTGATGCTGTCAGGCGAGAGGCGGCCCAAGGGGTTTTGAATGAGAACTTAATCTCCACAGCAAGAATCTGAAGTCGACGCAGGTGTCCCAAATCTGTGTTAACCCTCAAGCTCCAAACCTGAGGAAGAAACCAGGTTTTGCTGATGTTGTGGGCAAGAATCCTGATTTCTGAGCAGTGTTCCCTGTCATTGCACCGCTCGGCTTGACGACTAAGGTTTCTGTCCGGCCATCTGGAAGCACGGCTCTACCCCGAAGGGAAGTCTCCTGCCGATTTCAGTCTTTCGGGTTGGAGGTAGGGAGCAATAAATTCAGCTGCGAGGTGTTGCCCCTAATCCACGACATGTCGCATCCGCTTTGGTCTTAGGTTAATCCGTGGCGGATGAAGGCTTCCAAACATTGTAAATGCCGTGGTGCAAAGTTGTGTGATGCACGCCAGTGTTGACAGTTGCAGAGCATGTCTTTATCGTGCCGCTTCCCAGGCTCATTTGGGAGCTGAACAAGAAGTACTGCTCTCGCTCCCTGCAGATGGTTATGAGTGGCTGCTTGCCTTCAGATGTGATTTTGCCGGTGAGAGCTCAAGTCTTGTAGCTCCCTGAGATGGCGAGCGAGAAAGCCAAATATATGTTGATGGAACTGTCGGAAACAAAAAATGAGAAAGCGAACGCAACAAGAGAAGGAAAGATAAAGAGAGGGACAGACCCTTTACCCTTGCGCGAGAAAAAGAAAGAGACGGAGAGCGAGAGAGAGGCATAAACTTGTCATCAGGGGGACTCGTTGTAATTTCTCACGCCCTTGCCAAACCCCCCATAACACATGCGGGGCCCATGCGGCCGGGGGGCCTCGCACGCTCCCCACGCGTTGTTGAAGAAGAGAGAGGCATGTAGCAGTTGGTTAGCTTTGATGTCATGTCGTCGTTGTATTGACACACTCCGTTTGCCGTGGACCGCTTTCTGTACCGTGCTATCCAAACAATAAATACAGGGGCGCTTTAAGCGCGGGGGCAGAGGAACCCTGTGCCTTTACCCTTGCGAAAGAAAGGAGGGAGGGAGACGTGTCATGGAGGGACACAGACAGGGCCAATCAGGCCGGGGCATCTAGAGAGAACCAGAACAAGTCCCAGCCAGACATCTTGCAGCCAAAGAGAATCGGTTTCACAGCCGGGGATGTAGCAAACAGAAGGTCTCTTTTTGAGCACATGCTGCCCTGTTCCGGTGCATCTTGCGCCTGCTGCAGTACAGACCTAAGCTATTTAAACCCGGAAGGGAGACAGGCGCGCGAAACGCAGAGCATGGATGATTCCAGTGATATGATGCTCGAATGATGTCACATCTAAACGGCAGTAAGCAGAACATCATACCCGAGAAAGTTGCGCCTTGCTGAGAAGTTCATTCTGTGCGCCAGTGCACACAGCTGAAGACTGCGTCGCCTCCAGGTTCGGTGCGTGTGACCGGTGTCGGCAAAAAGGACGATTTGGGATTTTGGGGTTTCGGGGGGTCGCTAAGCCCCAAATCCGTGCAGATTTGGTTCGGGTTTGCAGTCTCGAAGTAACAGCATGCTACCGAACTGTGAGTAGGGGCCCTCGTCCTTACCATGCGGGGGGTGGCTCCAGCAACACGACGTCCCTTTGTACTAGGAGTGTGGGCTGTCTGTCTGCGGTAGCAATAGAACCCTCAATCCCCATGGGAGGTGTTGCATATCGTGTCGTTGCATCGGCCCTGCCGACCCTTGCCATGCTAGTGTGCACCTCAAACCCCAAATTTCTAGCCGCCGACCGTTCAACTCCAGAGCGACCAATGGCAGGCCTGCGGAATCAAAGTGCGGTTGCAGAATCATGCATGGTTTAGGTAGACGTTGAGCGATACGTGCCCGCACACTCGTTACTGCATTATGTATGCGTTATAATATTTGCCCGCCAGCTCATGACATGATGCAAATACATGGATGTACTAGCATGCCTGCGTTGGCTTCTTTAGTTTTTCTGATCAATGCCGCGAAAAAAGTATGCAGTACTCAATCAGAAGTGTGTGACTGTGCCGAGGTGCAATCAAGCCAGGCAGCTGTCTAAACGTCACTGGTGCAGAACTTTTATGCTCTATCGAGGCGTTCAACGACGTTTAGTCATCCGGGAATAGTTCCAAAGCAGAACTAATGGGGATAGTTGGGTAGCCAAGCATGGCCCTTACAATAAAGACGCCAATAGTCGGAGCATCCATAACAACTAAGACAATCATGGTAAGCTTGTAAAAACCTGCCGCAAAAATCGTTGAGATGACCGAGCTTACGGCACGTCGGAGACCTGCAGGATCTTCCCCGTCTGGGCAAGGGAGACGTCTTCGGCCGAATGTCTGCGCTGAGCCTGAGGCGGGGTGAGCATATGAGGGAGAGTTCATGGGATCGGGGGTGGAGGTTTTCTGTCGATGTCATGGGATTCTGCCATGCCTGCAGGCTTCCTCATCCTGCCTGACCGGCGTAAACCTCCAAAGCCCCCCCGCCCAAGTGCTCGAGGCCCCGACCTTCTGGGGCCAGTGCGCTCTATGCTGCAGAGCACTGTTGTGTCGAGGCTGGTCGGAAGAGGATGGGCGTGGAGCAAAGCATCAAGGGGTGTCGGTCGAGAGCATGTCACCTGAGAAAGGTGCTGTTTTCGTCTTGATTTTAGCCAGCAGGGATTGCCCCTGAACTTCTTGGGGCAGGTGCTTCACCAAGATGTTGTGGTCCGGGCGCTCGAGATCTATCATGATCAGCGAGGTGCCCTGGCTTTGCAATTTTGATCCAAAGTCTCGCAGCATAAAGCCGGATGTCGGCATTTGTGTTGAATAGGTTGGATGCCCACACCAACGATTCCATCCATCCGTTTGCTCATGAAAGCATGTCTGCATGAATGCGTGGATGCTGCAAGCCTTCTCAGAGCACTGCATATCTCATCTCCCGCTCGCTCTCTGTCTCCTTCTCTCTCTCTCTCGCTCTCTGCTCATCAAGCGGAAGTTATCTGCAGTATCATGCCTCGGAGACACGCTAGAGAGCATCGGAGTTATTTATTGCACGCATAGCCAAGGCAAAGTCCTCACTCTGGATCGCGAAGCAAAAGCTGCTGCTGGAATCTCGGCTCGAATGCCCTGCACGAAAGCCTGACGAACTGCCTTCTTCGACTTTTTGTGTGCCGTAATTTGCAAGATCATGCAAGATCTTTGGTGGTGGTTGCTTTTCTAGGGTCGCTGAGACGCAGAAGTTTGAGCCAGCCGGGAATGGAATCAGGACACCGTGGCTCCGAAACAGACTAACCCTTAACCCTTGCAATGTTTTATGCGCCCGTAGGACTCAGAGCTTGACGTTGGGTTTGTCGGAGTCTTTCGGGTTCTCCCAGACATCCGATGGAGGTGAGTAATAGTCGCAAAAGAGGGAGATCCGCAGGCCTTAAGAAGTTCTGCTCGGTAAGGAGCGAAGGCAATGGACTTTGTTGAGATTGTCGCGAGTTCGCGAATCTTCTCTGACATGCGGCTTGGAGGATCTTAAGCAACAGATCCAGGAGCTTCGGGTTTGAAATAAGCTCCTATGCCCTAGGCCTCTTTGCATGTTTCCGGTCAGTCCGCGCAACCAAGTCGTCAGACAGGCATTTTTTTGGGAGCTCAGTCTGCCGGCGAAACTTCGCCCGTACATCTCAGGTCCCACGCTTTCGTGCAAGAACTGGCGGCTTCTGCCATCGATCGCATATTCATGCCAGGACATGGTCTGGACTGCTGGTTCTCAAATGCTAACGCAAAGTTGGCAGCACAATGCCAATGGCCCTGCCTGAAACTGCCTCTGCTAGTCATTGGAATCAAACGAACAATATGTATAGGACGTCTAGGCCCTAGGCTCAATCATGACAAGAAGACGAAGTCCTTCAATTCGTCGAAGGAGACGTGGTGATGCACCAGGGCGCCGTTGAATTCTCCATGTTTATCTTAGTGACAGGCCCTGACATCGGAACTGCACTGTCAAAGGGTTTGCTTGGTTGCGGGGTGTGGGGATTTGCTGGTTTGCGCTTCTGCTGTTGTTTTTGTTGTTGCTGCTGTTATTGCTCTTCTTCTGAAGTGACCCCGCCGCATTTGCGCAATCATGTTGATTTCGTTGTGTCTTGTGAGTTTTGGAAGCGTGGCGGCTCGTGTTCGGTTGAACTCTGTCTATGCTCTGTGCTGGGTTCACGAAGGACGGTGAACATGGACTCGTTGCGGCAAAGACAGTGCTGGCAGTTCTTTGAGCTTGAGACGATTTGCCAGACTGTTTCAAGAATGCAGTATGAACGCCTGTTTACCCACAGAAACTGCAGAAACACGGGAAGCTGGCGCCCATACTTGGTTTGCAGACCTGCGGGCAGGCACCGCCGACGTGTTCGTGAGCGATGTGTCTAAGTCAGATGATCCGCACGGGCCCGAGAGTTGAGCTTCACAAGCCGTCGTTGCGGACCGCTGCATTCTAGTCGGTCTTGTCTCAAGTCAAGATCCACAGAACTCTGTGGATGGCATTGTAACTTGTAACATGGTTCAGATAGTGCAACAGCTGTGTTGCGCAAGAGGTGAAGGTACGCATCGAATCTTCCTACCTGCAGCCTTGCAAGGTACACGGTGACGAAGGAGCGGAGTCCCGTGCGGCATGCATGAGACCCAGGAAGAGCTGCTGAGGAGTCGCATCGTCGAGTGCAGCTTTCGAGTTTCTTGAAGTTTTGAGGACACGAGTGAGTAGACTGAGTAGACCAAACGGGGTACAGGTTGTTGTGCCACTTGAGCACAAGACATATGCCTGGAATGAGGCCAGAAGCATGAGCCGGGTCAGCCACCTCGCTCCCGGAGCGATCTGCAGCTCTCTGAGACAAGGAAAACGACAGTTCTCGGATTGAAACGGTCCAACCCTGGGAGCCGAGGTGGCGAGCTTGCGATGCTTGGAATCACCCCCACAAGGCCGGCGGGCATCGGGTACAGGAAATCGACAGGTCAGGGTTCGTGGTCCCAGGTCGGCGACCATCAAGGCCTCCGCCCTGTGCATTTTCTGGGAAGTCACGCAGGCGCGTTGAAGGATGCCTTCCGTTTAGGGCACTTTGTTGCAGGACTTTCGGAATGTGGCAGGAGTTGGCCTACTATAACCCGACCCAAAAATCTGGTCCCAGACACTGGTTAGTTTAGGCGCCTCCCATGTTCTCAGGACAAAGCTATGGCTATTCTGGACCGATATCCTCAAGAGCGCGACCTTTTCGGGGCGGCCTTTCGTATGCAGGAGTCATGACTGACCGGGCTCCACTCTGAAGAAGCTGGTCTCACACGAAACGAACGCCTAAAATCTCGGCTTCGAGTTTAGGGTTTAGGGCTCATCTTCAGGTCATTGTTCACAACCTTGACATCAGCGTCCCCGGAAGGCACGATCTGCAACTGCAATCTGCGGTGCCGCAAAGTTCAACTCTAGACCTGCGGCTCTCTTCACTTGCACAGGCTGCTCCAGCTACCATTGCTCCGAGCCTTCGACCGGAAGTTTCGCATGCTCCTGACGCTGCCGGCCTGCAACAACACTCGTCCATCTGAGCCTCGAAACCAGACTGTCTCGTGGTAATGAACCGTACAGGCCTGTCAAAGCTGCCTATTTTGCCCAATGTAAGAAATCGCATGCAGCTGATAGCGGGGCTCCTTCGGAAGTAAGTCGTCCGAGTCTTTCCGACATAGAAGCTGCAAATGGCCAAGGAAATGGCCGAAGCGAAAACACTATAGGGGCCTGCATAATTACCAATTCTATTTGGGGTTCCTTACTGTAATTATAGTACAATGGGCCCCAAAACCCTATGCTAATCATGAAGGCCCCCATATTACCCGGTCACTACTCTTCCTTTTCATGTCGCTTTGCAGGCTTTACTGCGAGCGGCATGCCTTCTTCCCAGACCAGCAGATCCTCAAGGAGGGCGAGGCCACACCAGGGATGAGAATGGCCTTTATTAGGGTTCCTTTAAAGGGGTCTATAAGGGTTACTATAAGGGATCTATAAGGGTACTATACTGAACTGGCATCTGTCATACTTCCACTCCAGCCGCGCACAAATTGTGCGGTTTGTCGGTGCCAGGCTGGTGACAAGTGCTACATATTCAACCTTGGTCCAGCACGTGCCTCAAGGGATGCTTGGTGTACTGTGGCGGGGAGTGAGCGTGTCTGCTCCCAGCTGCTGTTCACGAAGGCCATGCTGCAGAAAAAGGGCTTTACAGTCGCTCTGCAGCACCCAGGAATGCTTCGCCATAATTACGGGCTGTTCTTTTCGGCGGGTTCATCTTAATTGTGTCCAGGCTGCTGTGTGTTTGGTCGCGACTCAAGCATGAATACCACGGCTGGAGTAACAACGCCTGTTTGCCACGTGCTCTTTCAGGATGCCCCACCCCCACCCCCTCGCAGCGGCATCAACAACACTTCAACCAAAGCACTGCCGCAGTGATCTAATTCCAGCAGCTTCTGTGAGGTGAAGACCTTCTCGCCGGGGTCGCATTTCGGCTGCGATCACATGCTGGGCATCAACAGGCACGTCCTTCCTCCAAGTCACACTGTTCCACTCTTTCGATATCCAAAGTGTTCGTGAAAAGACGGTTCAACACAGACACCGTTTGCACTTTGCCCAAATTGCTCAAGGGCCCAGAGCAGCAACATGCAGCGATGCTTTTCAAGCCATTCACAGGTTTGCATGCTCTCCTCTAGTTCAGCCTTCCTCTGCAACCTGTCGAGTCTGCTGCAGGCTCTACTGTGGCTCGCTGATCGCTATGACGGTGTGCCACATCCTGGCCGTCTCCCGCAGCTCCTACCTCCTGGCCTGGGGAAGTGGTGAGTACACGGTTTCTACCGCAAAGGGCCCAGGGTCAAAATCGCTGGGGTTGGCACTCCGGTCCCAAATTGTGCGGCTCACGAGCTTTGAGTGGTGAGTCTTGCAGTGTTAGCCGCGAGCCCTATCTCCGTAGTTGATCCGCTTGCAGTGCTTACTTCCCCAGAAGTCTTGCGTTTGGAAGCCAAAAGGATGCAGGTGTCGCAAGAGGAACCTCCGCCCCAAACCCGGAAAGCCATAACCTCGCAGCCGCTTCCTGCCTCAGACGACCTGTCAACTCGACAGCCTCACAGGGTTCGCCAAGTCTAAGTGGTGTCCTTGGGTGGGTTGTCTACATGCATGCGAGTGTCAACAGCACAAAGCACAAAATCCTAGAAACAAGGTAGGACCCTTGTAGAATCCCAGACCCCAGCCAGCCTCCGTGATCAACAGACTTGAACTGCCAGGCGCTCGAGCAGTATCCGTCGCAGAAGGCGAGCCAACAGCTCCTCCGCCAGCAGCGGGTGGAAGCCAAAGAGCTTCGCCAGGCCATCCAGAGGACCCGAATGCAGGATGCCTTTTTACACTGCTTTTGAGGATGTTGGACGGTGTCGGGAATTGAAGCTAAATCTCGGTCAGGAGGCCGTCGGAAGTCTTCTCGTGATCAGAACGGCTTCAGGGGCCAAGAGCCCTTCTAAGCCCTGAGGCTTGTAGCCTCCATCTTCAGAGATCTGCAGGATAACGATCCGAAAGAGCATCTGGCAAAGATACCAAGGCCGGAAGACCCGTTGCGTGAGCCAGCAAGCGGTATACACAGCTTCAGAGGCGAGATCCACAAGGAGAAGAACATGTTCTTCCTCTCTGAGCATGTTGCTTGGCGGCAAGAAGCCAACCATGGCGGCGTGAGCAGTATGAAGACGGTCCGTCTTGAAAGCACAGTCGGTGCATGAGGCAGGCGCCATAAAAGTAGTCGCTGACGGCGCTGTTGAATTCCTCGTGTACACGCTGCAACTTATGAGTTCTCGGTGCAGCCTTCTCAGGACCTGGCCAAGCGATTCATGAAAGCCTGGTTCGAGACTGCCAAGGAGCTCAAAGCGAGAAGGCGCGCGGCCTCCTCTCCGGCTCAGCCTGCCATCGAAATCATCGCCAAGTCAAGTTGCACAGAAGTCGGGACCTTTCCGGGACGTGGCCTTAACCCCAGCTGAGTCAGCTCCCTCAGGTCGGAGCGAAATCGCCGGAGGAAGGAGGTCGAGGCGCAACAGCTTGGGGTCCCAAGTGACAACAGGCACAATAGCCGATCCAACCTGCTTGGGGGCGACAGGCCTGCCTTTTCTTGCCTTCGAAGCTCCCTGCACCGGACGAAACTAAACCCCAAGGCCCAAAGCCTAAACGCACAAATCGGGAACAATCGCCTCAACGCTTCTTGTGCCCTAAATGCTACAGCGGAGGAAATGATTGAGAACTGGAAGATGAAGAACGAAGCAGGGTTGAAGAAAGCCGCGCATAAGAAGAAGGAGCGCCTCGGCTTATACTTTTTGGGGTGTAGTCTCAGGGATGTTGTAAGGGATACTGGAAGGGCTACTGTAACTAGGGGCGCTATAAGGGATGCAGTACGGCATACTGCATGGTAACTTAAGGGTTACCATCTTGGTTGCTGCAGGATTAATTTGCTCCTCTTTCAATGAGGCGGGCCACTATACCTTTTCGCTTTGCCCAGCAAGGCACAGCATGGCCATACCTGTCAGCTAAGGAGAGAGATTCTGACCAGGAATATTCTCGAGAGGGGCCCACTGGAGTTCATCGATCCTCCAGTCTCTCAGACACCCCGGCTGCCACGCATACCGAAGAAGCAGACGCAGGACTTTTTTCAAGCGCTTGCCTCCCCGAAGAAGATCCCAGAGTCCTAGCTTGTCGTGTCCGTGCCGGAAACTTGTGCAATCCCCGAAGCCCCCGAGAGAACTCTCTGGCTATCCATGGCTTAAGAAACTAGTAGGAGTCATATGAGGAAGCCTACTAAAGGCACAACGTTTCTTAATCAGGTTACTCCACCATTATAGTACCCTTATAGATTCCTTATTGTAGCCCTTACAGACCCCTTTAAAGGAAGCCTACTAAAGGCACAACGTTTCTTAATGAGGTTACTCCACTATTATAGTACCCTTACAGATCCCTTATTTTAGCCCTTACAGACCCCTTTAAAGGAAGCCTACTAAAGGCCCAAGGTTTCTTAATCAGGTTCCTATATTACCCCATCTTCCCTTCGTACTTCCTCGGCGAGGAGCTGGTCTCCATCCTCAAAGCCTGGCCCTCGCCCCGTCCATCTCCACACTACGAGCTGAGCTTCGGATTGCACCGGATGCATCCCACTTAAGGTTTAGGGTTTAGGGCGGCGCGAGACAGCTGTCCTGGCGTGACGTTGCAAGCCAGTTGCAACAGGGTGTAGGGTTTAGAGTCTGGGTTTACGGGAAACTGCGGGAGGTGAGGATTTAGGGCTTGGGGGCCTAGGGCGGCCCTACTTTCTCCTTAGTCTCAAACTGCCCCTGAGCCGAGGAAAGTGTGGAATGTCATGAGCAAGGCGCACCGAAGTCGTGCCTGTGATTGCCACGCCAAAAGCTCGCAATGGCATGGTAGAAGGTGCTGCTATAAACTTTTAAAATGATTCATCTTATGCTTGCAATGGCATATCAGCATTAGGCAGTGCAGAAACTGACTCCATGGGTTAAAGCACTGCTTGTCGCCCCACGGCCAATGTCGCATTCTTTGGGCCAGTTGAAGGTCATCAAAACATCGTGCACCATATCAGGTTTCAGGGTTCAGGGTTTTGTGTTCAGGTTTAGGGTCACACGGCTTTAGGGTTTACGTAGGGTGATAGTTATAGGGTTTTAGGGTTTAGGGTTCTAGGGTTTAACGTTTAGGGTTTGGGTTTTGGGGGTTGAGCCCGATTCTTGCCTCCACGGTTTTGGGTTCAAGATCCACTTGTGTAGGGCTAACGGTTGCGGTTGCATGTGAGGGAAAAGTTACTCTTTTGATACTAGGAGTTGTTACATGTTTGGTGCTAGCAGTTAGGTCCCTGCTGCGTGTGCGGCCCAGCCTCATACACTTGCCATGCCTGATGCCGGTATTTTTTGAATTCTGTTCTGGTTTGCATCGAAGATGGATGGCCTTTCTGCATCTAAAGGCTGCGTTCTCGAAGACGGACGGACAAGTGTCGGTACTAGTAACCTATGAAGCAGTAGAGGACCCAGGCACTCAAGCAGGCTGCAGAGTGTGGAGACGTTTGCGGCCCGCCCCAAGATCCTGATTGCAGTGCATCTCCCGTCCCTAGCCGTCCTTTAGCACGATCTCAAAGTGGGAGTTTCCGAAAATTAGGGGTACCTTATTTTGGGGTCCATATAATAAGGATCTTATTATTAAGGGTACTATATTAGGGTCCCCTATTTTCGGAAACCCCCAAGTGGAGGAGCTTACGCAGCCGCCGCCTGGCGAAGCAGCCGGTGCTCGGTTGCTGCCAATGCTGCAGGGTGTCCGCAAACGAGGTGCCAGAGGGTTGGTTGCAGAGTGGAAGAGTGGTAGAGGCCTGGATGCAAAAGAGTGGTGGTTGCGGTCTTCCCGCTGCTAGCTGCTAGCTAGTTTTCAAACCTGCCCTGGGCTTGAACCTCCACCTGACCTTCCGAAGCCGCGAAATAGGCGAAGCCATCCTCGAGGCACCAGGCAGCTTGGATTCGGGAAATCTTTTCGGCCCACTTTCGTCCAGCCTGAAGTCGTGAATTTTCTAGGGCTTTCATAGCCCACGGCTGAAGGGTTTTGCGGCTCTGTGGCTGAGCGAAGTGAATTATTGTTATCAAGCTAGAGACCGCCTACCTGCACCTAAGCAACCGCACCGATCTCACAATCAGCCCCTGGAGAATTGGGACTGAAGTAGTAAGAAGATGCATAGTTACAGGCTTCTCATCATCACCAGAAGCAGCATCAGTGGCGGCAGCACCTAGGGCCGCACCAGCAGCGGCACTGGCAGTGGCACTTGCAGCAGCAGTAGAAGCCAATCCAATGAGCTGCCAACAGCATCAGCCTCGAACCTCCAAACAGCGCATTTTCTGTTGGAGCATCATATGATCGGCCGGTTTCGGTGATTGTGCGTTACCATCTGCAGTAGCCGTATCGCAGCAGTATGGGGTAGATGGAGTGCGAACGCTAAACAAAGGGTCGATGGGGTAGTCACGGGTAGTCGTAGCAATTGCAGCCGCACAAGCAGCATCTTCATCAGCAGCATCACAAGATGTAGTTGGCAGCAGCAGTGGAAAGTCATAGCATAGCAGCAGTAACTATACGAATACGACAAGAGTATTTCCAGCGAATAGCACAAGTAAAATGGCCATGGACACTTGCAAGGCCATTATTGTCTCTCGAGCTGCCAACGAAAATAAACTGCATCACAGAAGAGAGAATGCCGCCCCCCCGTGCAACCCTAAACCCGTGCTAAGTAGGAGGGGAAAAAACCTATCCTAGGTTCCGATGGCGAAGAGTCGGAAGAGATCGATCTAAATGAGGAGGAAGAGGCCTCCGGCAGCGGGAAAAGCCTCAGGTGCTGATAATATAGAAACCTATTTGATTTCCAATACTGTTGTAGGGGTTTAGGGTTTAAGGTCTAGGGTTTTAGGGTTTTAGGGGTTTCGGCCCTCACATGCAAGCCTGCAGCAAAAGGGTTTAGGGCCTATACAATTACCTATACTACTTTGGGGCTTCTCCATTATAAGTATAGTGCCATGGGCCCCCAAACCCTATTCCAATTATTGAGGCCCCGGCACTATGTGCCAGGGTCCCTTGTCCGGTTTTGAGGGCCTCGGGCCAGAGCACGTCCTCGTAGGGTGGAGGGATGGCCTTTCTACATACTATATGTTATATATTCATATGGATTTATGATATGTTCATATGGATATATGTACAGTTGAAGATTCATATTTCGCGTTTTTACATGCTTCATAATGCAGGGGATCATTATGGGGCTCTGCAGGTGTGAGGTCTGACGCTAAACTCACGGCCCTCAGTGCTCTTGTTGTGAAAAGGGCTTCGCAGCACCGTTTGTGAGGTCTGGAGTTGAGTTTCGATTTGAGTTCTCAGTTTCTGACTCCTGAGATCTAGGAGGCTTATTCACTTCTGGATGTGAGTGGTTATCTGTGACATAGGTGATAGGTTTCGGGCTGCTAAGGCCTCGGTCGTCAGGCAGTTGCACATCAATCAGTTTCCGTTGACACGTAAGATGGTGTCTGTTGTACAAGTTGTGGGGTGCTCCTGTGTCGAAAGCGTTCCACTCAGCGCAGGCTCCAGTCGTCGCGATGGCAAGCAACATGAGCACGACGGGCGCCGAAAGGGCCACGAGCCCGGAGCTCTTCTACTGGTGCCAGTAAATTCCAGCGAGTATTCCTCAACAGACCCTGAGAGAGACTGCGGTTCCTATCCATGAGAGACTTTGGAAAACAACTAGCCTGGAGCCGCCGTTTAGGTCCCCAGCCTAAGACACTCCTCGCCCTCGCAAGAGCTGTGTTTCAAGCTGCATATATCCAGATTTTGGCGATGTGGGTTTAGGCGTGCCAGCGACTTCGCTTGTTCCGGTGATTGAAGTGCCTCCCGACAGCCTAGTCGCAGCCGACCTGTGCAGGCGCGCCGCCTGACCCGCCTTCTGAATGCCACGCAGGAGGTGATGGATTCCCATCTCGGTTAGCTCGACTCATTTCGCTCTTTTGATCGTTGATAGTATAGGAATGCACAGGACTCTACACGTCGGATCGTTCGGATGAAAGCGGAGCTCACAAAGCAGTTCGGGAACAACAAAAACTGTGTATGAATGTACGTAGGTAGGCAGGTAGGTATGTATGTGTGTTGATACATACCGTACATACACATCTATTTGTATGCCATGCTGACTAACCGGACCGACCAATGTCTGGGTTCACGTGTGGAGCAAGCCAGCAGCTGGGCCAATACGTTCCTGGCCTTCGCGGATATGCAACAAACGCAAGACTGACAAACTCACATGCGAGAGCGAAGGACATGTTTCACAGCCGCTAGACGACCAGCCGGGAATTGAATCACAGATTCCGGCTGTCAGGAGTTCTAGTTCTTAAGTCTCCAGTAGGCCGCAGAGATTTGCTAACTTGTCTTCGTCCACCTGGGATGAACGCTGCTTGCGGCCTGCTTGCGACAGTTATGCGGCCTGTCTCGTCAAAAGACGAGGGGCTCCGAAACCTCAAGTCTTTAAAGAGTTCTGTAGGGGTCAGCGCACTAACGTTTCCGGGGGGTGCCCTGGTGTGCGCTTCCGCGAACAAGCTCCGTTGCAAAAATCTGCCTCGCTGGCCTCTAGCACTGAAGCCCGGCAGCCTCGATTACTATGGCGGCCTAAATAATTAATTACCAGTACTATTTGGGGGCTCCTTATTATAATTATGGGGCGTCTATATTACTGCGCCTAGTCCCTCCAAGTCGTGAAATTTATTGAAATTCCTAAACCCCTAGCTCCATCCTTCACCATTTGCCGCCGTTTCAGCTCAAAAGCATGTGGCGGCTTCCCCAAAGCCAGGCACCGGCTGCGTTCTTGGAAAATTGCTGCTATGTAGGTATGCCTGGGTACATTTTGGGGGGACCCATGAGCCCGGGAGCACTGTGTTCCCTACCGCGGCCCCTGAAAGTAGTCTTCCCCTATCAATGCAGGACTTTGAAGGAAACCCAGTCTAGCAGACACCACCGGTTTTCAGCGTGGCACGCATAGTTACACGGTGTCTAAGATTGATTGACAGTATTCTGTTTCTAGATTCACTGACCTCTGAACTTCGGAAGCAAAAGGCAGTCTTCAAGGCCTGTGGTGGCGTAAAGCATCAGGTCTGCATGTCGAAGTTCGTCCAAACCCCTAGCCAACGCCCTCCAGGTGGGCGATGGCAGAGAAAGAGAAACTTGGCCATAGTTGGGTAACTTTTTACATTTTAATAGGTCTTTAAACCCAATAGGGAACAACACTTTAGATTTTTAATCCTATCCCAACCATGAACTAGGAAAGAGAAGAGGAAGACGAAGTCGGTAGCTCTGCCAGCAGATGCGCCGGAGAGCCCAGTGTCTCCCAGGCCACCGATGCTAAGCCCGCCCCCCGAACTCGCCTGGCCCTGTTCTTACCTTTGGTTAGTAGGCAATGGAAGAATGGTAGTAATAGTAAGTAGTCATAATTGTGCCCCATTCCTCCATTCCCTACTAGCCAAAGGCAAGTGTTCTGTCAGGATTTCTGCTTTAGACTTCGTCCTTTTTGCTGGCGATTCAAGAGGGATGAATGCTGCAGACTCCGTAAGCCTGAAATTTAAATACTGCAGCAGCACCTTCTTGCCATTTGAAAGCCTGGGCACATAGCTCACATTGCAGCAAGCTTCGGGGAGTTCAAGCCAGGGCTCCGAGTTCTTTAGGAGAGTTCGATGTTTATACGCCCACACACACACATATATATACACACGTAGCTTGTTATTTGTTTATTTACTTATGCATGAATTTTGTATGTATGTGTGCTCAATGTGTTACATTGTACTTGTCTTAGTAGCTGAGTGGATGCACTTTGCACTTTTGGGATAACATTACCCACCATAAAACTGAAAGTGTACACTTGTTGGGGCTTATGAATTCAGCAACTAAGTCTTTTTGTATTGGGATTTGGGGTTGAGGGTTATGCAGCGTGGAAAGAGACGGCTGTCCTGGCGTGACGTTGCAAGCCAGTTGCAAGGAGAGACTTTCACCCTGTAAACACTTATACAAGCTTATATGCGCTTGTTTCAGCTAGAATGAATGGTACGACATGTGTATAAACCTACACACAGACACCCCAACACCTATTCGATGCGGATCCCTTCGAAAGGGACCTTAAAGGACCCAAGGCCATAACTAAACCCTAAACGTCTTGCCGAGCCATTTTGATTTAGTCGCTGATCTCTGCTGGTGATTTGTGCCTTCCGTTTCTTTCACCCTCAAGTAGTGCGCAGTCGTACCGAGAGACCTCGTCTAGGTTGTCCGAGAGCGAGCGCACAAACTACCCTAAATCTGAACCCCTGTGAGCGCCGAAACCTGAACCCTAAATCCCCTGCCTTACACTCTGAACCCTCAACCGCAGCCGTCCCTGCCAGGAGGAGCAATGCTCGGAAGCGACCCGGCCGAGGGGGGGGGGGTTCGTAGGAGTTTCGCAAGCTCGAGGTTTAGGGTTTGGGGGTTAGGCAAGTTTAGGGTCGTTTAGGGAGAGGTTTCTCAGACTTAAGAGGTCAAGGCTGTTGTGTGGTTTTAGGTCCAGGGTTTGCAGGGTTTCGGGCTTCTGGAGTTCCCGCTGCATCTTCGCGCGCTCTCAAACGGAAGGTCTTGACTCAAACACTTTGCGACTACAGTCTCGTTCTGCAGCCGGAGCCGGTCTTGAGCAGCTTTATGTAATACTCCACTCTCGCCTCTCGATGTCGTGGTCGGTACTGCTTTGATGGGCGCTAGCGTAGCCGATCGAATGCTCCTGAGTCCCAGGAGCGCGCACCCGACCTTGAGCAGCTCTCCAGAGGAGTCACCGGGAAGTGTGCATGGTTTCAGTATGTTTTGGAGTTTAAGGGCCACGCGATGTGGGTTCAATGCGGGGCGGTTCATGCAAATGTGGTGGTTCTGCCAGTTCCGCCGGCAAGATACCACTGTCAACTCTTTGCTGACCAAGCCAGGGGAACTTTCGCAAAACAGCAATGGCCCTTCTGATATCATGATCAGCCCCATGATCTTCGTCATTATCGTTGCCATTCTCTCTCCCTCTCTCTCTCTGTCTCTCTCTCTGTCTCTCTCTGTCTCTCTCTCTCTCCACACACACACACACACACTTGATCGTAGCCTTCTTTTGTTTGGAACCACTTGTTGTGAAGCTTTGCCTATAAGCCCTTAACCCTCCTTGCCCACAAGGACCTGGCAGAGCCAGATCCCGGCAGCCCCAAAGGTGCCTCGCATCGTTGCTAGTGGGCTTAAGGTTAAGGGGTTTAGGGTTTTGCGTTTAGGGCTTAAGGTTAAGGGTTTAAGGGTACGCGGCTCAGGGTTTAGGATTTAGGGGGCACTGAAGATTGAATTTACATGTTCAGCAGTGGCAAACAGCGGCCGCGGTCGTACTACTTTGGTTCTGCTTTCGCGGTAAGAACAGGTGGTGGTGGTGGTGGTGGTGGTGGTGGTGGCGGCAGTAGTAGCAGCAGTAGCAGTAGTAGCAGTAGTAGTAGCAGTTGTATTATTGTTATTATTATTAGTAGTAGTAGTGGTAGTGGTAGTGGTAGTGGTAGTGGTAGTGGTAGTGGTAGTGGTAGTGGTAGTGGTAGTGGTAGTGGTAGTGGTAGTGGTAGTAGTAGTAATTAGTAGTGGTAGTAGTACTAGTAGTAGTAGTAGTAGTAGTAGTAGTAGTAGTAGTAGTAGTAGTAGTAGTAGTAGTAGTAGTAGTAGTAGTAGTAGTATAGTAGTAGTAGTTTAGTAGTAGTAGTTTAGTAGTAGTAGTAGTAGTAGTAGTAGTAGTAGTAGTAGTAGTAGTAGTAGTAGTAGTAGTAGGAGGAGGAGGAGGAGGAGGAGTTTTTTTTTCAATTACTGGTTGCAATAGTAGCAAAAGTAGCAATAGTAGTACTAGTAGCAGTTGTTGTCGCAGTCTTCCTGAGCACGCTCGTTGGTATCAAGGTGGTAGCTCGGACCCCCGGAAAAAATCCACACCAGCAAGGTCGCACCCCGGCCGCAAAGCGGCGGGTGACGTCTCTGTACTCCGAAGAGGAGCGGGCGAGACGAGGTGCGGGAACCTGAGTTGGGGTCTAGACTTGAGGGCCCACGGATCACGGGATGTTTCGTCTTTCAGGTTTTGTGAGGCTACATGAGCAGATCGAATGGAGGCTTGCAGACAAACGAAAGCCTACGCACATACATGCGCACAAATGCATGTATGTCCATGCACATGCGGTTCTCTTTTTTTGCAGCGTGATCTCGCCACCGCCAGACTCCAGGATCGCATGGTGGAATGTCCGTCCTGGCGATCGAAGCAGAGCTTGCAAAGTTTCAGATGCCCCTGAGCTGGATCCTGCCTCATTTCTTGGCCTTGAGTTGAATGTGGCAGGTCTAGCACCTGAGTTAGCATCAAGAGCTTGGGCGTCCATGAGCAGTACCAGAAACCATAACAGGGTCCGCAGCCTACAGTCGTGAAAACGTGGCCCTGCAGAGGTTTTCGGGATGCAGCTCCGAGATGATTTCGGAGCTGAGCCGAGTGACCACAAGCAGGATCTGCAATGAGGGCCAGGCGACGGAACCTTTCAGGGTCATTATTGGGTAGTATGCTGGATGGAATGAAGATTTTCGCGAATTCCACCAGGAAGCTGTGGAAGCCCTTTTCTCAGGACTAATTCCCGAAAATGTTTCCTGTGGCGAATAGTAGTGAAGTCTGACCTGAAGTTCGCTCGGGGCTCCCTTTCTGGGCCTCGGCCGAGATGCAGGTCGTCTTCGGAATCGAGTTGAAAACCTTCAGTTGCTGTCAAAGAGAAGCGTGGAACAAGTTCTGATGCTCCGAAACCACCCCTTCCAACGCAGCAGTTAACTGAGTCCTCCTGCTGTTCGATTGGAAGCCAATGAGAGAGCAGGGACACGAGCCCAAAAAGGCTCTTGAAACCTCGATACGCTGACCTACACCTACACCTATAGTCTCCATTGTAGTTCCTTTTTTTGGTTAACCAAAATCTCTATTATAGGATCCTAACCATAAAACTGGTAAACCAAAAAAGGGAACTACAATGGAGACTATCGGCACCCTCTCCTCGGCCTCAGACCTCAGTCTGCCCAGAAGTTTCGGAGGGGTTTAGGGTTTCGGGGTTTATGAACAAGCTTGAGGGTGGACCCGGTAGAGGCGCTGCAGACCGGATGCAAAAAGGGGTTATATAAGGGTAAGTCTCAAGCTGCGAACCCTGAGCTTCAGCATGCTCGAGGTGATGCAAGCCAAGGGGGACCACACCGACGCGCTGCTGATAGTTCTCCGGGGCACGCTCAATATTTTCCTGGGTGAGGAGTGCCTCGCACCCGATGATAGATATGCAGAAGGATGTCAGCAAAGAGGGAGACTACACCTTCCTCTTCCAAGCCGCCAAGATTGATCGTCGTTACCATCATCGTCACCACCGTCACTGTCATAGTTACGATCAGATTAGCAATAGCCAGCACCAGAATCAGCACCAGCCCCATCATCAGCGTCGTTACCCAGCAACAGAGTGCAAGTAGATACCGGACGCAGCACCCTTTACTGGTGCTTTAGGTGTTTGAGCGCGCTCTTCCATTTCAAGTGTCTAGCTCGTCAGTAGGGCCGGTGGCATTTGAATCGAACTTCTTAAACGCAAGGTTGTGTCAGAATTGTGAGAGCGTAAACTCAAGGTTGTGTTTGGGTGCCGTGGCGAATATTCAGCATCTGAAGGTTCGGTTTTTAAGCTGCGGCATCGCTGCAAACACCAAGGTGCATCGGGCAGATGCGGATGCTTTGCCGGATTAGCATGTCAATGTACAAGCGCATCAAGCACGAAACGAGGCTGTTGAAGACCAGCGCAAAGACGGCCGACACATCGCATGGGTTCACGATTCCACGGGCTAGCATCCAGGACTCGGGACACATTTACCATATGAAGTCTGTTGGTAGGCTTTCCGGACTTTCCGGCCTAACCCGACAAACGAATCATGCTGCAGCGAGTGGCATGTAGAGACACACTGCTCCCGAACACTGCTGTGGCATAAGGAAAGGGGACCACGTGGGTGAGACCTTTTTCCTCGCTGTGGAGGACTCCGGACAGAACATGAGCTGGTGGAGCGGACGCGCCCTTTCCATGTCCCCTCCTAGCGTCCTGAACAGACCGTCATGGTTGCGAAACGGATCTGTTCATTCTAAGCTGTTCGCGCTGTGCCGACCTTGTACCCCGAAACCTGGTATGCGGATCCCTGATCATCCAGGCGAGGAATCCATACCCCACCACCACAACAGCAAAATAGAATGAAGCCCTATCACAGTTCCTGCGCTGCCTCTGCAAGAGGACCTTTGGAACATACAGCTCGTCGCCGCCGAGTTGGGTAGCTGGTCTTCTCTTGTTCAAACTCGGGCGCAATCTGCCGCCGTTGATTGTTTAACATAGGGGTCGTAGTAGTTACCTGTACTATTTTGGGGTTCCTTATCTTAACTATAGTATAATATGCCCCAGCACCCCTATGCTAACTATGCAGACCCCTATATTAGTTATGGCACCGTGGGCATTTTCATTGTTGCTAGGTTGACCTCCCTGAAGCCATTCCGACTTGTGCTGTAGTTGTTAGGAATAGTTGTCTCAGTTATCACTGTACATGTAGCGGTTGTCGTAGTATGACAGCACTTGTGCTTTTGATATGTGTCGAGCCTGTCTTATACGGATGTTTCCAGGCTGCCATTGCTGGTGCCTTCATGTTGCAGTCGTTCCCAGTGCTGTTGCCCACGTCCTTGCTCTGAATACGACCGTCATGGCTATTGCTTATTGCTCATGCCACGAGTTTTTGTCTGGTGTCGTTTCAATATTCCAGGGCTCGTAACTTGTGCATATAGTTTATGTTTGGCTGATGTGGGAAGTCGCCTGACGTGCCTCAGAAGGGATCGGGGCAGGCTGTTGACCAGCGCTTGAGTACTTGGATGGTATGTGCATCTTAGGCGTTTGCTCATAAGCCCTAAACTCCTGAAGCCCTAGTCCTGCAAGGTATGGTGTGCGATGTCAGCCGCGAGGTCGCCTGCTTGTTGTCCTTATGCAGTGGCTGCCTATCGACGAGCTCCGGAGGTACTCCAAAATGTTTTGAAAGAATTCCCTGCAGACAAAGAGCTGCTCAATCCGAGCCTTGCCAGCACTCCGGGGGATGCCATGAAGTGAACAGCGTCTCCTTGGAATCTGTTTAGAGGCTGAGCTCGAGTATCAGAGGCTTATTGACGGGTTGTCGTGTCGCGATGCCTGGCCACAGCAGGAGGTCCTGCATCATTGTCAGCCAGAACTTAACCTAACCCCCCTTCATGAAAACAAGTGAAAATGCCAAAGAACTTGAACTTCAGATGGGCAATGCTTACTCGGATGTAAAGTGCCGTGCAGGAGTGCAGCTCAGTTTGCGGGCAAGCCCAATCATTTGACGCTTGTTTAGGGTCGGGCTCGCCATTAGGGATTGCCTGGAGGAATCATTGTCGTAGCTCGGAATGAATGGAGGTATTCGCCCTCCTCCTAGTGTCAGTACCTATTTGCTTTTATAAGCAGCCGCCGGTTTGCGCAGGTATTTATCTCAGCCGCCCCACGTGCACCTACTCACGTCTGAGCGCATGCTCCAGAGCCCCATCTTTGCACAGCTCTCCGAATCCGCTTGGGAGGCCTGTGGACCTACAGCATACACGGGTTCTCGTGCGGGCCTTCGTGTCGTGCTTCCACTACATTTTCATGCAAACAATGCGCATCCCGTGGCATGCGTGTGCTGTCCATTGGGTCTTCTGTTGCGTGGATATGCATATTAGGATATATATATATATACATACATACACATACGCACACATACATACATGTCTTCTCCTGCTGGAGAAGATGTTTGGCTTCATAGTGAAGTGGCAGGAGCACTAGGCTCTCTTCCTGTTTCTGCTTTGCAGATCTTTCGGGACAACATGGTCCGGCGCATCTTTTTCCCTGGCGAGACGATTTTGTCCGAAGAGTCCGAGCAGAAGTATCTGGCACCTCGGCAATCATGGCCCGAACTGCTGCATGTTGCGGCCATAAAATCCCGACCTGCTATCACGTTGTTCTTCGTGGGTCTTCCTGTGAGTTCATGAGTTTGACCATGCAAGCCACGAATCATGGGACGATTCCTTCGACAGACTCCGATCTGTGGCTGCTGGATGCGCATCCAAGGTGCTTCTGGCACGTGGGGCCGCAAGCATCGAGATTGCAGGCTCTTCTGTGTAATAGATTTTCGGTGCGGTCCCCTCAAGGTGTCACGGCTCTGCTGCCAGAGTTGGTGTTGGAGATTGGTAGCGGCTTTTGGTGTACTCTGGGTGCAGTGGAACTGGGTCATCTGCATCTGAGATCTGTGCAAGGCCGTGCAATTCGCGTCGAGCGCAGGGGCGAGTCTCTTAGAGGCCTGTCCCAGCGCGAGGGGGTGGCGATGGATCTGGATGTCCCTGGGCGCAGGATGGCATGGGGTCATTATGCAGGATGCAGCTGCAGCAGGTTATAGTATACAGTCGTCCCTGCTCCTGTCTAACTGGTGCCGTTGATTTGAAATGAGTTGCTGCTACTTGTCCTGCTACTCCTCTCGTACAAGCCATGTAGCCTGTCTCCTTGATTGAGGTTGGAGGCTCTTAGAATGACGCCCGTGCTTCCACCTGGGGCAAGTCCTGAGGCTAACAGCTCGGAGGATGCGCTGCATCCGGCTGCTTCTTGGACGAAGCAGACACAAGTGAAAGCTTGCCTGGGGACGGCCGCAGACCACACCATTTCATTTCCCACGGCTTGATTCCGAGTGGTGGGCTGATCGCATCCTTGAAGACAAGGCATTCACGTCAAACACGAGCTTTTACTAGTTGTATCTGTATTTTGCCGGGAATCCTGTGCCAAGTCAGGTCCTCGGTGATGCAGAGTTCTTGGGCCTGAATGATGTCCGTGTCTGTTCGGTTAAAGCCGACGCAGACCCTCGGACGCGAGAAGCCTAAGGTGTCTGTGGCCCTGCTGCAAAACATCACCCCATCTCATCAGACCCTGCTGCTGGTACTAGAGATACACCTACAGAAGTGTGGCACCAACCCGGGGCAACAACTGAATCCCAGACCAGCAAGCAGTCGCACAACGAGGTACAGCCAGTGAATCGGGTTTTAGGGGTTGTCAAAACCGAACAAAGCCACCCAAAGCCCCAGGAATGCCACTGTTGGCTCATTCCTGCCCCGGTCCTGGCCAAAGCATTTGCCAATGGTGAGAACGAGACCTGGCTGCAGCTGCAACAATCCATGCCTACCAGGGAGAAGGGTTCAGACTTCCCCTTGATGGGAGCACCATCTTCAGGAGAGTCTCCTGAGGGATCTGCTCGCTCTCCGCGTAGATCGAGGCAAGGGCGAGCGCTGCGGGATCCCAGCTGTTACCTTCATCGATGTCCAACACCCAATCATATTCGATGATACTGGGAGATGCATCAGCATCGAAGTTGCTCTTGAGTAGCAGCCTGCAGTTCAGCTTTCAGGTTCAGGGGTTCAGGTTTTTGCATCGCAAGCCCATATAATTCCGAGAAGCTGATGCGTCGTGCGGTTCTTGGCAGGCAGGGTGGACAGTGGAAAGCTTAGCGTCCTCAGTATATTTGACGAGGCTGGGTGCAGACGCTTGGACCCAAGGTAGCACCGGCAGGTATGGTGGCATTGTCATAGTTGTGAAGTGAAGGTGCCCGGCTAGCCTGCATTGCAGAAATGGCTTTTGTAAGCGACGAAGACAGGGAATCGGAAATTGATTGAGCGGTCTACGAGGAAACCCGGGCTACGCTGGGTTGCATGTATATTTTTCGGGTTCCCCCTCATGATATCTCAGAAGGGTCACGCAAAAATTAGCATCTTCCTCCACCTTGAACCTGAAAGGTGATGCCTCTAAATACTTAAGGCTCCTACTCGAGTTTAAGCTTAAGAACAAGATATTCTAAGAATGACATACCCTGTTGGGGGAAAACACGACAGGACCTGAATTGAGAGAGCTAGGGCACGAACTTTCATACGACGTGCTCAAAGCTGTGCTTCCTTTGGCAATGCAGCTTTGCGGAACCCGAGCAGACAAGAAGCACTGAGTGGACGACAGAAGCTCTAAAGCCCGCTCAGTGCTCGCCAAAAGAAAGACCGAAACCCAGGTCCCCTAAACCCTAAACCCTTCCGTAGCCATTTTGGCTCAAACACCATGGCTCAAGCTAATGGTGGGTCCGGGGCCGCCGATGGTGGCGGCGATGGAGATGGAAAAGATGACAACAATTTCATAAAGCCAAAGGACGGAAAAGAAGATGACAAGGGCAAAGCTGACAACAGTGCAGCTGCCAAAACCAAAGGAGAGGACAATAAAGTGAAAGAAAATAAGAAAGATGATGAGAAGAGTGGGAAGAAAAGATCTGAGACTGACCTCATGGACAAGTCCAAGCAGAAGGGAATGGACATCGATGAGCAAGATGCTGAATCAGAATCTCAAGATGGTGAGTCTGGGAAGAAGGAGGAAGCATCAAAGACTCCGGTACCAGATACTCCCGCAGCATGGAAGTCAGATATCTTTTACGAGCGAAAGGCCGTGAAGATTGATGAGTATGTGCGTGCAAGCGCAAAGCTTATGGGGTACGATGAGGTGGGGACAGCTTTCCTTCCAAATCAGCAAATCATCTACGCAAGGAAGTCTATAACAACAAGGGAGAGCAACAGAGAGATAGAGAGGCAGCGTGGTGTGAGCATCCACGGTGTGATTCAGCCTTACTGTCCTAATGGGAGGATTGCTATCGAAAAATTGCCCGCGAGCTTCGGCACGAAGGTGCCGTTAGGGCTGGGCATTGAGTCGATAACGGCAAGCATGGTCAAAGACGTCTCAGCGAGGTACAGGGCTGGAAACTACCCACCGCCCGGAACTGGTATCACAACAGCTTCAAATGCAGAAACTGACGCACTCTCGAAGTCTCTCTTGGCCCAGGTGTCAGCTGGTCCAGCATTGATCAACTACAGTCATCTATGCACCAGAATCTGGGTCAACCTGTTCAACATAGAATACGCCCTCGAGTACAATCCAGTGTTGAACAACATGCAGTACGGCGCGGGAGGAGCTGTTTGTGGAAGCCAGGACGTGATTCCTTCCGCAGACGCACAAGAACTTGGTACCTTGAATACGTTTGTGACATATGCTGGCAACGCGGACGCGATCCTTCTCCGCATACCAAGCGACTCTGTCGATAGCACGCTAAGCATCATCGGGCTGCTCACTTCGTCCATCCCGAACTTCGAGGTCATGCTGGTCAATCCGAACGAAGCGCAACCATTCGTGTGCGACTATCGCCTTGGACCTGTGAGAGTGTTCGTTGTGGTGAGGAACGCCAATGCAGCGCTTGGCCCGTACCAGTCATGGATACAAAGGCAGCCTGCATTCACGCTTCCCACGAAGCAAGCTGTTTACAGGGTGCTATCGCTCATCTTTAGCCAGATCCCAGATCCAGAGGCTGTCCGCGCTGGCATGTACCTAGCTTTAAACATGATCGTGAGGCTGCCTGTGCAAGGCCAATCTGGCATCTTTGACGCAAATCATGCCCCTGTCACAGGGTGGGGCTGGCACTGGCGCCTCAATCGAGCTCAATCACCATGCTCGGGCAACTGTTTTACGATACCAGAGTACATTGCGATGAAACATTGAGGGTGGCTGAGGTCTTTATGACCTCCCTCACTAACTTTGTGGACATATCGCTGTTTGCACTGGGTATCGTGTCCATGACAGTGACTTGTCGATCATTGGTGTTGCGAGCTTTTGGAGCAGGCTTCTGTGGCCTTGCCCAGTCAGCAAATGTTGCTGATACCTTCGCCGTCATCCCGCTCAACGACCCCAGGGAAAGGACAACCGAAATGACCACGGTCGACAGCAGTATGATTTCCGACTACGGGGCATCTCTTACAAAGTGCATCCATGATGTTTTTGGAGTTCTCCTGCCGAAGTCAGTGCAGGTGATCACCTCAAAAATGGGGGCGTGGTTGCCTGGCTTGAGAGTGCCAATGGACGACAGAGACCCAGAATTTGCCCCTCCGCCAGTTCTCTTGCTGCAGGTTGGCTACGAGACATGCGGCAACTTCCTGGGAGCGTTGGCCGACACCAACATGCTGCTGAAAGATGCGCTCTTCTCCGTGTCGAACCGTGATGTGTCAATTGATGAAGAACCCAGTACAGAAAGCCTCATGGGCAGCCCAGTTGAGTTGGGTTCCAGTCGGTTGATGTATCTGGTTGCCAGTGACATCGTGTTCGCCCACGCTCTAGCCGCGTGAGAGAGGTAATTAAAGGCCAAGTCTGCACGCCGGGGAATTCGTCATTAGCAAATAGCATGTATGCATGAAAAGCTTGCTGGGAATTAGAACCGAATTATAAGCAAGTTGCTGTGATTTCATAGGATGGGATAGTGGTTTGAGACGTTGCATTGCCACCAAGCATGAATCCTAGCGATTGCAGTCCCTATAAGCCATCCACAGGTAGCTCCACATAGTCCGCGGTTTCACCAAACCCTGTGCAAGTAATTAACTCTACAGTCGGTAATATGCTGACGGAGGGAGCATTGTAAGAATGTTCCATACTAACTGACTAGCTAAGCAGGCTAGTTTATCTACAGATCGCTGTGTGCCCGGATCGTCCTGGTCCTGTTCCCATTTTGGCCGTTAGCGTATGTATGTCTCAGCCCGAGCCCCTGAAAGCGATCTGCTGCTTCGAGTTCCTGAGATCCTACGTGTCCTCATGTGCTTCCAATGAGTAGGATCTTGGGTAAGGGCGCGGTCCTCTCTGACACAGTCACTTTATGCGTTTCGACTCAGCTGTCTTGATTCGTCCTATGATCGGCCCTTTAGCGTGTTTCACGTTGTCAGACTCCGACCTATATGCCTCGCGTGGATTGTCCGAGTGTGAGCGCCGAAACCCTAAAATCCTAAACCTTGAACCCTAAGCCCTAGAAAACCTGAAACCCTAAACCCTACACCCTAAGACCTAAAACACTAAACCCTAAAACCTTAAACCCTGAAACCCTATGTAAAACCCTAAAACCCTAAGACCCAAGACAGTTCCAGACCGAGGCTTTGAGTTCCTCCGATACCTCCAAACTCATTTTGAGGGCCGCATCTTTGTTCAAGGCCGCGGCTTCGGCTTACCTATGGTTGCAAGTAGCAGGGGATGGAAGAATGGTAGCAATAATAGTAATAGTAGTTATAGTAGGGGATGGAAGAATGGTAGTACTAGTAGTAATAGTAGTTACAAGTACCCCATTCCTCCATTCACTGCTAACTAAAGGTAAGTCGAGGGATCCGACAAGGCATTCGGCAACGGGGAGCAATGGTCGCATTAATGTCAATAATCGAAGAGCCTACAGTGCTGACGGACACACGAGCTTTTAGGATATCGGATGTCAGAAATCGGGGACTCCCGCGTGTCGTGGCGGTTAAGACAAGAAGGATTAGCGTGGGATTCAATATTTGGGGTTCCTGTTGCAGTTTCGATTGCCTTTCTTTGGAGGCTTGGGGCCCGTGCCACCCATTTCCGATGCTGAGAATTAAGGGCGAGTACAAAAGAGCCCAAACCCGCCATCTATCTTTATCGTATCTAGCTCCTTATGTATCGCTCTCTCTCTCTCTCTCTCTCTCTCTCTTCTCTCTCTCTCTCTCTCTCTCTCTCTCTCTCTCTCTCTCTCTCTCTCTCTCTCTCTCTCTCTCTCTCTCTCTCTCTCTCTCTCTCTCTCTCTCTCTCTCTCTCTCTCTCTCTCTCTCTCTCTCTATCTCATCTACATATATATATATACACACACACACACACATCCAACCCGTGTCAGGCAAGACTATTTGCGACTTCGAGATTCCCATGGGCACCCGCGTGATGCACATCGTCACCAGCGGCTACGCTGCTTCCGTGGGTGAAACAGATCCTCGGATCTGGAATTTGGGGTTGATGGGGCTTATGATGTCCTCAGCCCGTAGGTGCGAACTTTCCAACTTTTTGTTATACTACTCGCGCCCTCAACCCTTAAGCCTGAGTGTGCGAGTCGAATCCTTAAGCCTCGACCCTACCCCAAAGCATGCAGAAGCATGCAGAAGCAAGTTCACACCGGTCGCCAGTTGTTGCTGCTGGGGGCGGGGTGTGATAGCCCCCAACCGCGCGACAAGCGTGGCGGCACGGCTGTAGCCATGGTGCCAGAGGAAACCCATGTCGATACTAACTTTAACATCGCGATAATCGGTAACAGCTCGGGGAGAAAGTTCTCAGTTCAAGGTCAAGCCTCCAATTCAAGATCAGCTGTGGAGTCGAAAAGGCTGAGAGCCATGTCGACAGAATGGTGTAGCTATGGTGCACAGCCCCCCCCTCGCCGGGATCGGGATCCTGTCGGGCTTCAAGAGCTTGTCGGGTTCCACATCAAGACACACCCAGACCATCCGCTGCCGATTCATGGCTCTTGAGTGGCTTCCTTCAAGAAGCACCGCAGAAAGACGAGCCTTGAAGCGCCACAGGTCGTCTCCACACATGCATGCGGTTTGTGGCAGAACTATGTCTAAAGCCTACGATAGCACTCGGATGAATAAGCAGAAGTTGTAGCCAATTGAGAGTTTCGACAAATTGGGGGTACCTTAGTTTGGGGTCCGCTTAGGGTACCATATTAGGGTCCCGCATTTTCGGAAACTCCCAGTTGTTCCAGGCCCATTCAGCAGCCGAGTGTAGCTTTTAATGCAGGCCGAGAGCCGCTTGAGGGGGCTGCAAAATTGGAGGGGACGTTGAAACATGGGAGTTTCCGAAAATCAGGGCACCTTATTTTGGAGCCCTTATAATAAGGGTCCTACAATTTAGGGTACTATTGTCGGAAACTCCCGCATTTGACATGCCCTTGCTTGCAAGGAGCAGACTCGCACGCTCGCAGCCAACACTGTCTTCGGAATGATGAGTGCCCTCGGGGTGGCGCCACGCCCCGCTAAGGTGAAGAAGGCTCGAGAGGGCATGCCGGAAGCGAAGATCACGCCGGCAGTTCAAGATGAATGAAAGCTACAGCTTCGTTGTTTCTCGATCCCAGTATCCTGCAGGTGGTGGCAGTGAAGCATTGCTACTGCCAGCTGCTACACCAAGCCGTGGTGGTTCGGGCTCTGGAGCTTTTCCCGGACCAGCGAATGAAGGCGGGTTTGCTGCTTCTCAGAGGTTTAATTTCAGTGGCACAAACGCAGACTTACCGAGTGTGTGGATTCGCCGATGTGGGTCCGGCGGGCCACCCGCTGTGAGGGATATTTGGCCAGGTGGGGGAATGCATGTTCGCTCTTCCCAAGTTGCGGCGGTTGCAGCACCGCATGTCCGTCGGCCATGCTTCCGAAGCTATGAGCATGCCTGCATGAGTGAAGGCTTCGCTACTGGTGGCGAGAGATACTTTCGGAACTGGTTTTCAGAGACCCGTGTCAAGGAAGGAAAGGTTCAAGCTTGCAGCAACAAGAGCTAACAGCTAGTATTTTTGCACAGCACAGGCGCACTATGCATGTCACACGGACCGGGCGCAGAAACGCAAGAGCCGCAAAGAAGAGCAAGCAGAAAGTCTTTGAGTGTCCCGGAGCCTTACACCACGTGACCAGCGAGTGCTTTCCAAAGTATGATTTTGCTTGCCCCGAGGTGCTGACACTCTCCAATGGTGGCCAGGACCCTGACAGCAATGGACCAGCTTAGGGACTCGAGGCTTGAGGCTGCTAGAACAGCCGAGCGATGGATATAATCTGGCTATGCCTGACGCTTGTGGGCGATAGTAGATGCACGACCGCCAAGCCGGGTGCATCGCTCGTTGCAGAGTATGCAACCAATCGTTGGTGGCAGTATCTTTAGTTTCGGCTTCGCGATTTGCCCGAAGGAGACAGACACGGCGGATCTGATCGAGCGAATTCAGTGCTTTGACTGAGCAGACCATGCAGAGCCCTCCCTCGAGTCCTCGAAAGGGCTGCAAGCAATATCCCGCGGCTGCCATGCTTAGGAGTGCAGGTGGGAGGGGCATGACCCTTTTCGAAGGGCAAGGGGTATAGTACTTGCATCGCCAAGTTGTTAGGGCAAAGTCTTGCGAATGTAGAGACATTGGCTGTGGCCAGCATTGATAAAGGAAGAGCCTGCCTTGGCAGCTTCTGATCAGGAATTCGCCCTTCTTCGCGAATACAAACCCGGATTTCGTCATGGAGCTGGCGAATGCAGCAGTAGACAGGATCTTCATGCCTGGTGATCTGGTGGTCAATGAAGGCGGACACAGTTTTGGTGTTGTGGGCAGAGCATGAAACGAGCCACTTCCTAGTTTCGTTGACTTGTGCAGTACACTTGTGTGCCAAGCAGGCTTTGCTACCCTAGGCTTGTTGCTGGTTTACTGTAGCATGGAAACTGGCTGGAAACTTTTGTGGCATGAAGCAGTGCATGAAGCTGCAGGTTTTGCCCTGCGCGTACAAAGCGCGATCTTCGACGCGCGCAGTATTCAGCGTAATATTCTTATAGCATAACCATATCTTCTTATAGTATAACTATAATCGTCGTCTAAGAGTATAACATAACAGTCTTATAGTACAGCCATAATCTTATTATGGAATAACCTTAGTATGAAGCCCTTTTCCGGCTTCAGAGCGGAAGCTCCTGACGAGGGGAGGTCGGCAACTCCATGTTTATCCTGCTCAACGGATCTGCAGATGTGTATGCGCCTGGGACGGAACTCTGAGTTGCAAGGTTCAGGATTTTGATGGTTGAGGGTTTTACGGTTTGAGGTTTCAGGGTTTTAGGGTTTAGGGTGGACGCCTGGGAGAGAGAGAGAGGGTGGACGCTTGAAGGTTCTGGCCCATGACCTGTTCATGCATATCTTTCTCAAAGCCGGAGAGACGACCCGGACCATTACATGTTGACTCAGGTCAGCGACAAGAGCAAGGACAAACAGGAGAAGGGGCAAGTAGCCAAGACACCTGGACATATCGGAACTGCTGTAGTGAACTGCCAGCGGCAGAAGGCGTCTTTGTTGCAAGAAACTTTCCCGGTTTGTTTCACGCAGCTCAGGAAGCATGACACTCAGATCAAGCAGATGATCCGTGTTGGGCACTTGAACTCAGGGGCCATCGCAGGCTGCCGGCTATTGCGGTACAGGAAAATGCGCACAAACAACAGCGTGAAGCTAAAGCGGTCTGAACAGATTGACATGTTCGAAGGAGTTGAGTGCATCACAACACTTCTTGGACTTGTCAGGCGAGCTGGCCATGCTTGGAATATCGCAGACACGTTCAGCCACCTTACTGCAAGCTTCGGTTGAAAAGAAGTGCCACCTTCGAGAGAACGATCTTCTTGAGCCTTAGGTGCAGCTGACAGGCTCAAGTTGTCAGTGTTAGGATTCTGGCAGCGAAAATCAATATCGGTTGCATCTCTTGAGGCGAGTATTCAGGCCTCGACACTCTGCGTATTTTGGGAAGTGACCCAGGACGACTCAAGGGCTGCAGCTTTGAGTTGCCAAAAAGGATCGAAGGGTTGCTTCATGGGTTGAGTAGCAGGACAGACCGCACACAGAAATTAGTTTAAGTTTTATACAATGAATAATGTACCATCTAAATCAAAATATTCTATGGTATATAAATCACACTATCATATGCCTTGAAGGTCCTCCTTGTATGCAACGGTCGTGGGTAGGTGGAAGGAAGCACCTGTAGCAGCTGCAGTAGCAGAAGAAGCAGTAGTTTTGCTGGTGCTGGTGGTCCTGGTGGTACCTGACAGCTGCCAGTACGTACTGGGTAGCGAGAGGTGGGTAGGAAGCTAGTGCGAGTGAGGGGCGCGCGACTGTTGGTCCAGGAGAGAGCCATGAATATCCTCGACCGATTTCCTGAAGAGCAGCGTGGCGAAAAGTCGGAATCTGACAAGCGCTAGAAGAAAGCTTCGCTCTGAGCAGCGAAGCATGAGCTCCATCATTCGGATGCCGCGACATCTATGAATACAGAGCTAGAGTCCTGTCTGACCGAATAGCCTTTTGCTTTGGGTGACGGTTGAAGCTCGCAGAAGCGATGCCCCCTGCCAAGGCGCCAGCTGTTCAGCAACGTCATCGTGCAAAACCTGGATTTTACTGTGACGGGCCGGCTCATGAATCTCAACCTCTTCAAGGGCCCTTTCGCAGAGATTGGGATGTCTTGCCCACAGCGGAGTGTTAGCCACTGCACGGTCATGCCGAGCTGCTAAAAGTCATCTCGGAGACAGCTGCTGTACATAGAAAAATGAGCGTGGGTGACATGCCATGCTCAGTCGAGGTTTCGACCGCAAGTTCCGGAATTTGCTGGCCCTCTACTGCGAGCGACATGCTTTTTTCCCCGACCATGCCGCCACGCGAGAGGGTGAGAACGGGGACAAGCTCTGTCCTCAGTCTTGTCAGGTGATAGGGGAGTTGCCGAAAATAGGGGACCTAATAAAGCACCCTAAACAGTAGGACCCTTCTTATAAGGACTAAGGACCCCAACCCCTCATTTTCGGAAACTCCCGTATCTGCTAGATCTTCTAGCGCCTCGGTTCTCAGGATCAACCCTCATCCTGCAAGTCAGCCAGTTTAACACGAAGACTTCGTTGCTTCCAGGATTCCAATCCGAAGAACAGAGATCGGGGTCTGGCATGGAGCCGTATCTGTATCATTCTGAATCTATGTATATGTATGTATACATATATATATATATATATGGTCACCCCACCCATGACAGACCATCCCCTTCAAAACATCGCTCCCACCGGCGTGTTCGTGCTTTTTCCGGGGTATCGAGTTTGAGCCCTCCGAACGTATCTGTGGAACCACCAAAAGACTGAGACCCGTTGACAGACCATGCCCTTTCAACTCAGTCGTAGCGCATGGTCTGTGATCGGGGGGAGGTGGCACTCAGCTTTCAAAAACTCAATTCCAAAATTTCCAAAATTTCCGAAATTCTATCCCCTAACTTTCCGGATTTCCAAAAATTTCCAAAATTTCCAAAAATTCCAAAATTTCCAAAATTTCCAAAAAGTCCGCCCTTATGTTTTGGAAAAATCTTGTCGGCTAGGTCGGGCCGTTTTGGAAATTTTGGAAATTTTGGAAATTTCGGAAATTTTGGAAATTTTGGAAATTTTGGAAATTTTGGAAATTTCGGAGATTTCGGAGATTTTGGAAATTTTGGAAATTTTGGAATTTTTGGAAATTTTGGAAATTTTGGAAATTTTGGAAATTTCGGAAATTTCGGAGATTTCGGAGATTTTGGAAATTTTTGGAGGTTTTGGAACTTCTGGAATTGATTTTCAATGGGCTGATTGTGACCCCTCGGATGACAGACCATGCGCTACGACTCACTTGCAAAGGCAAGGTCTGTTTAGACGATTGTCAGTGTTTATCTATTTTTCTAAATTGGTACTCCTACGAATACTATTACCAATACTCATTCTGACATTGATCATTTGCTGACTGCCCAAGCTAATACCAGCATTAACACTAATATTTACACTTTTTTAAGCCAATACGAATAGGCACCATACAAATAACAAATACTAATAATGATTAATACTGACGTTCATACTCCTACGCATATCAATAATTATGCCCATATTGCTAGTAGTGTATTTTGGTTCCAATACTAATACACACCTGCATATACCAATGTACATAAATATACATACCACTATATTAAAGTACAAATACATTAGCTCATGCATGTATTTATCTGTTAGTATTTTCATGTAATCAGGAGTAATACTAATATAAGACAAACGTTCATGCGAATACATAACCTCATTTTAATATTAGCACTCGCACTAGCACTATTACTAATACCAATCACACTGTTTATACCAACACCAAGCAAGATTTACATAAGTATTGATACTCCTACGGATACTACTGCGTATACTCTTAATTATGCTGTTAACAGTAATGCTGTCACCAATACTAATACTGACATTGATAACTTGCTGAATATTCAAGATAATGCCAGTATTAATACCATTATTAACACTTATACTAAGGCTAATGCGACTATGGATAATCCTAATACGAATATTAACATTAATACTCCTACGAATACCAATGGTCATATTCATATTGATGTGAAGACTACTACCATTACAAAAGACACGTGCATATGCTAATGCACACCAGAACACATACCATTAACTTAAAATGCCGATATGTATTAATGCATTCATGTACTGATGTTTTAGGACAAGCATATACCCACATGCCAATGTAACAATACACTACTTGTTAATGTGTGAATATACTATACTAGTATGCTATTATACTAGTATGCTACTATACTAGTATGCGACTACTGTAATATGCAAGTATACCGACGTGGCAGGTTAGTGTACTAATATGACAACATACTGATACACATAAATCTTTAGACAATACACGTATATTGCATACACTAGTATACTAATACACTAATGTACGAATATACTGGTATGTTAATATACTAATATATTAATACAGCAATATACTAGTTTACTCATGCATCAGTTGTACTAAAGTATTAAATCTACGAATATGCAAGTATACAAATATGTTGCCTCTCGAACACATCAATGTGTTGATATACTAACCTGCTGATATACGAAACTATCAGAATAGTAACATATCGAAACTAACTCTAATTTTGATACCAATACTAGCACCTCTGCCATTATTAACTGATATTAAACCCAGCATGAAGACTGATACTAATACTAGCAGTGGTACTATTACTGGCATTGACACTGGCACTAACACTAAGACTAAAACGAAGATGAGCACTAACATTAATGTATACTTACTACTGTCGATATATACATATATACATATATACATATATATATACATACTTACAGTAAACACTAATACTATTGCTGATACTAATACTAATACCAATATTAATACTCATACTCATCCTATATCAATGCTACCACAAAACTCATAACTCACGTGTCGCGCATCTGGTCCATGCGTCCTCAGTACATGGCATGTTAAAAGTATACTTGGTATATGTACTGTAAAGGATTTGCTTTACAGATTGTCGTCATGTGTGGTGTGTTTAGATGCAATATCTCAGCCTAGTCACCGAACGAGAGTACACTATCACAAGGGCATGGTCTGTCAACGGGGGGGGGGGGTGAGCATATATATATATATATATATATCTCAGTTATAGAATATATACTTACTTACACACATACACACACATAATATACATATCTATATAGATATATATATGTATATATGTGTGTGTATGCATATCGATCGAGAGTTCCGAATTCTGAGGTTGTGGATCATGAACTCCGGCCCAGCGCAGTTGCAGAAGAGAGGTTTCAAGGCAAGTTGGCAATGGCCCCGCTACACTTGCAAAGTTGCAAGATGGCTGTCACGCAGGTCAAACTCTATACTCCCGGCACCCACTTTGGCAGCGACAACATGCTTGGGCCTGCGGGACGCATGAAGAGTAAGCACTGGGGCGCCTCAGACTGCCTTTGGTGGCCTGTCTGCCGAGGATATCTCGAGCCTATATCGGCAGCCTCGTGGCTATGACCGTTTGCCACATGCTCTCCCTCTCACGTGCCTTGGTGGATCGTGGGATCCAAGGCTTGTATTATGAACCCAGACGAACATGTTGAGCGTTATAGCTGCTTCAGCATGCGTGCTAGCGAGCTCTGCTTCACGGGTGCTCCTTTGGCCAGCATGCCACAGGTGCCTCTTACCTCCATGCGCTGGAGCAGCATCCTGGCCGCAGCCTTCGTGGTGGATCCTGCAATGTAGAACCAATTTGGGAAACGGGACCCTGCCAACCAAAATTCGCGTTTTTGCCACACACTAGAACACCCTGGCAGCCCCCAAAAAAGAAACAGCAAAGGAGAGCACAATTACAGGAACACGTTGTGGTACTTTTTGGATTCGGGTGCTACTACGCCGTTACTACGATCAGAACAGCCCTTCGGAAGAGTCCAGCATGCCTCTACATCACTCCTGAGGTATCCTTCCAAGACCGCGCACCAGCGCTTGGTATCTTGGCGTCTTTGTGAGGAGTTCGTTTTGCGGCGTCCACATCAGCCTCAGAAGCTCCACTCATTCGGAATCATGGTGGTGGTTCTCATCCGTCCTTTGTGCCAACAGCTCATTGAGGATAACAAAAACTTCCGACTCTCGACAGCACAGCCCCGCAATTGGGGCACTGCAGCGCAGCATAAAATCCTCAAGCCCCGAACCGCGCTCTACATCATCCGCACCAAGCCCAACACATGCCCAAGCCGCTCATCAGAAACACTCGGAAATCAAGGTGAAGGAGCAAAAGAAGCAGGCTGTGGAGCTGAAAGACATGCTGGAAAGGGTGGCCATCCGCAAAGGCGCGGTTTCTGTCTTTCAGAGTTCAGGATAGTTGACATCAGGGCTTCAGCCATAGTCCGTGAGAATATTGTGCGGCCTGCAGACTTGAGGTCAGCATGCAGGAACTACCCGAGCCGTTTGCAGTGGAGTGGTGTCAAAATGAGCCTACAGTCATGAGAATCACGTCTCTTCGGCTTTCATCGTTGAAAAGAAGCCGGAAAGCCGGGAAAGTTCTCTTCTCTCTGCCGTTTGCCAGGTGTCTGGCAGAGGTATCAGGGCGAGCTGGCTGGAGGCCTTTTCATTGGTTCTTTTGTATAAACATCAACAGTACATTCTATATTATGAACTCTGGAGCTTGGGGTGCAGTGCTGGGAGCTTTCGGATTTGCGGCCGTCCTTGGTCCCCGCAGCTGCCGAAGCCAAGGTGGTTCGAGTTCTGTCCGCGGCGGAGAAATTGAGATATAGACAGAAAAATCAAGAAGCCAAGCTGTCCTTTTGATTTATCTTCTTATATGGCTTTACGCTCTTCAAAGCACTTGAAGTCGAAACCCTTCAAAGCACATCGAACACAAGACCCCGTCTGGCGGAGTCCGAGTTGCGAGGGTGTAAACCCCGAGTCTTCTACAACCCTAGCCCCTAAACCCCTAAACCCTAAAACCCTAAACCCCTAAACCCCACCTCAGAAGCCGTGCCTGCGTCAGCGAGTGTGCGAGTCGAAATCCCTAAACCCTAAAGCCCTAAACCCCTAACCCTAAACCCTAAGCCCTAAACCCCTAAACCCTAAGCCTTCTACAACTCTGCTTCGAGGTGGTGTTTCCAACCTTAGCGACAACGAGCTCGTGAGGCGCCTCGTGAAGGCAGGGCTGGAGACCAGAGGTTTAGGGTTTCTAGGCTTAAAGGTTTAGGGTTTAGGGTTAAACGTTTAGGGTTTAAGGTTTGGGGTTTAGGGTTAAAGGTTGAGGGTTAAGGGTTAGTAGTTTAGGGCTTAGGGTTTAAGGTTTAGGGTTTAGGGTCTGCCAGAGAGCTTCGCTGCCGGCATACACTCCAAGTCCGTGCTTAAAAAAGGGTTTAGGGTCCGGTTCCTGGCATATGCATAGTCCAGGTGTAAAAGGGTCCGGTTTCTAAAAGGGTTCAGGGTTTAGGATTAAAGGAAAACTACCAGGCGTGCTTGCAAGCAAGCCTGCAGCAAAAGGGTTTAGGGTTTAGGGTTCGTTTTCATATGCGTAGTCCAGGTGTAAAAGGGTTCGTTTTCAAAAGGGTTTAGGGTTTGGGCAAGCGCAGACGGAAGCATGTGATATTCGGGACCGGGGAGCAAGCAGCCTTGCCCGGCTGCGCCATTTTGGCTCTGCTGGTTCCTGCTTACGTGCCCGGCTAGGAAAAGGACGACTTCCACCCCTAGGGTCAAGGTTGCGAGTTTCAGACTGACTTCGGTGACCTAGGGGTTCCGCCCAATGAATGCTGTGAGGTTTCTTTCCGAAGTATGTCGGAACCCTAAGCCATCTCAAACCCATGGGTGCCGAAATTGAAGCTGTCCAGGCCTGGTACGACCACGTCCGCATCGTCAGGGACAAGCGACTACATGACACGATGAATCATCAAGAGCTGCGCAGCTGCAATGTGTCTGAGCAAGGCTTCTGGGTACTCCACATCTGCCAAGTTTAGTCGAAGCTTTGCAAAGGATTGGATTTGTTTGCTCGGGGGGCGACTTGCAGTTTAGTGGCTGAAGAGAGACCTTTCGATGCTCTCGATCCGAGGATGTTGTCCAGAATCGCAGGCCGGCTTTGTAGGAGAGCGGAAATCGATCCGTTTGGTCTGTAGCACACGTTTTGGGCCGGGCTTCTTCTCGAGTCTTTGGGGCTCCCTTGGGCACTAGAGAAGGCAATCCATCAGTTCTGTGCTGACGATGCTGACTGTGCTGAGTATGTGCATGCTGCTGATCATATTTATGACGATGGTCGTGAGCCTCGATGCATCTTGTGGATGCTGAGCATGCTCTTAGGAGACCTCTGTCGGATGTCAACACATTCCGGATTCAGCTTTCTTCTGAACCCAGCTTCGTGCTTGGCCTCGCCTGCAGGTTGGAAGCAGAAGCAAGAGGATGCCAAGAAGCGCATCGAGCGCAAGACGAAGATGAAGGCACGGGTGTGCGCAGCCGCAGGGGTTTGAGCAGCACGCCTGCCAAGATATATCTAGAAGCGAGAATATGGCTTGATGACCACAAGCAGTTGCCAAGCTTTCTGGTACAGATGTTGCTTTGTCTGTCGGAGGCTCTCATCAAGCGCAACTTGCTGGAGAGAGGGCCACTTCAGTATCTTGAGGAGATGTTCAGATGCGCATTTTTCCACGTGGTTGAAAGCCATTGTGAGCACTTTCATCCGTAGTCAATTTTTTGCACAGCTGCCCTGACAAGTGTGTCCTGTGCGTGCAACTGAGCGCAAGAAAGCTGTGTTGCTGCTGCTACTGCTGCTGCTACTGCTGCTGCTGTTGCTGCTGCTACTACGATGGCGGCTGCGACTACGATGACGACAGCGAAGAATGGTGCCACCAAGCATGGTTCGTACGGGAGTTGCCAAAGAAGTCCTGTCAGGAGCAGAAGCCAAAAGATCCTCTCCTCCAGTCGACCTACGATGCCATCCAGGTCATTTCTGGAATATGTCTGTCCAGCTTTGGGCGATGTTTGTGGTTGTAGGATCGATGGTTCAGGCCCAGGCCGTTTCTCGTCTAGTACGACGTACTAGGCCCTGAACGTTCACCCGCCGACGAGGACACCGAGCCATGGGCGGAGGTCACGTGGCCCCGCTCGGCACAGCAAATTGAGCTGCTCAAGGTGGCCTTGTCGGGTCCCTGCCAATCCCCACGTATCAGACTGGTTATCGGGGTTCTGACGTGTGTTGAAAAAGCAGAAGCTCACTTTCTGCGCCACAGCATGCTTCTCATGACATTTGTCCGTCACGTCCAGGCGGCGTTTGTTGGGGGATCATCATGCCCCAAGAGATAACATACCCTGTCATAACTTAAATATACTTTAATAGTATGTCGATATCATATCATTGTAATAACTATAGACTATAGACATTTCAGTACCCTAGAGTACATCATAGTGTACCGTAGTATACTATAGCTTACTATAGCATGTTAGAGTAAATATGATAGTATATACTAATAGCATAGTCTACGATAGTATATAATAGTGCACGATCGTGTATGTTGCAGTATATCGTTTTTCTACTATATCGCCGCTTAGTGTGCGTGTACTCCCTTCTTTCTTCGGTATTGACAGGATTGGCCACAACCTCGCCCCTCGCCATACTACACACTCCGCGTGTGGGAAGTGGTGAGGCCGTTTGTGCAGACTCAGGATTTTTGGGGTTTCGGGGTGGTATTTGCTGTTGTTTAGGTGCCTTTGAGTCCTCGTGTCGCTCACCACAGGCACTCCATGGTATCGAAAAGCCCTGTCACATTGTCGCATGCGTTCCGCTCTGCGTAGCCGACGATTACATCGGGGTTTCACCTTTGATTGCTTTTGCACCCAAACTGAGATTAGTTTTGGTCGTAGAGTTTTGTTGCGACTTCGGCGTAAGCTCAAAAAACGTTGCCTCTGTGCGATACGCCTCACATCGTGAAGCTTTTTATGTTGCTATCTTGGCACTTGCGCAGTTTGCCAGTTGACGTCTTTGCCGTTGTCGGTGATGTTCTCTGCTTGCTCTTTCGGGTGGTCAGTCCGGGGGTGTGAGAGTTAGGGTACTATAGAGGTATGAGTTTTTGCTTTTTCGTTTGACGATGGTCCCGATTCTAAGTATAGTGTCGTGCACCGGGCGCCTAGTTTCGCTATTATGGACCCTTTACTACGCAGTTCAGATTTCTCCGGGTGAGCCGGTACCCCATGGTGTTTAGCTTTGTATGTGGTCAGGCAAGCGATGAAGTGCTGGCACCAATCCGACATTTGGCCTAAACCCAAAGTCCCGCACTAAACTATCCAAAGCGTCTCAACGGGAGAGCCTGCATGCTTATCCAAAAACCCTCGTGTGAGTGTCGAAAACCCTAAACCCTGAAACCGACGCCCTGAACATCAAACCGAGTCCATGCAGCGCATGAGGCAAAAGCCGGTCCATGTACTACTACCATTTCTATTACTATTACTATTACTACTACTACTACTACTACTACTACTACTACTACTACTACTACTACTACTACTACTACTACTACTACTACTACTACTACTACTACTATTACTATTACTATTACTAATTACTATTACTAATTACTATTACTATTACTATTACTATTACTATTACTATTACTATTACTATTACTATTACTATTACTATTACTATTACTATTACTATTACCATTACCATTACCATTACCATTACCATTACCATTACCATTACCATTACGATTACTATTACTATTACTATTACTATTACTAGTACTATTTGTCTTACTATGACTATCAATTTGGTGAAAAATCGGCCGCAAGCGCCAGGCACGAACTGCGCTCCCAGGATTCAGGCTCCCAGAGCCGCATGCTTCCGCTACTCGGGAAGAGGCATCACCAGGGGTTTCGGAGTAAGGGCCCAGGGTTCTTTGATATTCATCGAGCCCAGGTGAACAAGAGTTTGTGGGTCTAGGGGTTTAGGGTTTAGGGGTTTTTCTGTAGTATGCATCACTCGTCCGTGGTTCTCATCGTTCTTGCGTTGCTCATATGTGCATCCCCGAGGTCTCCTCAGGTGACTGAGGAAGGCTCTGCCAGAGAGCACCGCTGCCGGCATACACTCCAAGTCCTAAACCTAAACCCTAAACCCTAAACTAAGCGAGGGGCCGAAACCGTCGAACGACAGGCCCCGAGCGCTCTGGCCGAGGGCCTAACAGCCCGAGCGCCCCTACGAGAAGAGCGGGACGCGGAGAGGGGAGGGTAAAGCCTCCCCGGTCTGACCTGCACAGGTCAACGGTGTAAAGCCCATGGCAAACCCCAACGGGAAGTCTTCGAAATGAGGGACCGCCGTATCGGGACCACCTCTAGCGTAGCTATTAAGTTATCACCCCAAACCGTGCCCCATTTGCTCTGGTTGGGGATTTTTTGGGGTTAGGATTTAGGATTTAGGATTTAGGGTTTAGGATTTAGGATTTAGGATTTAGGGTTTAGGATTTAGGATTTAGGATTTAGGATTTAGCCTCCGGAAAATTGGATTTTTGCTGGTGATTTTCGAGTGACAAATTCTGTTCATAAAATGTGCCTTTTAGACAAGGCCGGTTGCGAATCTCGAGGTCCCTCCTTTCTTTTCGTGTGGCTGCTCTTAAGCTTCCGGATTTCAATATTTAGTCTAGGATTTAGGATTTAGGATTTAGGTTTTAAGGTTTAGGATTTAGGATTTAGGATTTAGGATTTAGGATTTAGGATTTAGGGTTTAGGATTTAGGATTTAGGATTTAGGACTTAGGGTTTAGGATTTAGGATTTAGGATTTAGGGTTTAGGATTTAGGATTTAGGATTTAGGATTTGGGGTTTAGGATTTAGGGTTTAGGATTTAGGGTTTAGGATTTAGGATTTAGGATTTAGGGTATAGGATTTAGGATTTAGGATTTAGGATTTAGGGTTTAGGATTTAGGATTTAAGATTTAGCCTCCGGAAATTTAGATTTTTGCTGGTGATTTTCGAGTGACAAATTCTGTTCATAAAATGTGCCTTTTAGACAAGGCCGGTTGCGAATCTCGAAGTCCCCTCCTTTCTTTTCGTGTGGCTGCTCTTAAGCTTCCGGATTTCAATATTTAGTCGCCCTTGTCCTTTTCGGAAAAGGACAACCAGCTCTAAAATCGAGATTCAGGATTTAGGGTTTAGGATTTAGGATTTGGTGTTTAAGATTTAGGATTTAGGGTTTAGGATCTAAGATTTAGGATTTAAGATTTAGGATTTAGGGTTTAGGATTTAGGATTTAGGAACCAGCTCTAAAATCTAGATTTTCCAAAGCTGTCAAACGATAAGGTTAAAGGGCCGAGCCGGCCCTGCCATGCCGAAGGCCCGAAAAGGGCCGAGGCTACTCCCAGCCGTTGCCTAGGCCACAACTTAAACAACTGGAACGTTCATGGGTGCAAAAATAGGGATTTCTTGGATTTCCGGTTTCCAAAGCTGTCAAACGATAAGCTTGAAGGGCCGACCCGGCCCTGCCATGCCGAAGGCCCGAAAAGGGCCGAGGCTACTCCCAGCCGTTGCTTAAACCACAACTTCAACAACTGGAACGTTCATGGGTGCAAAAATATAAAAGCCCCCCTTGATAGGGGGTTGGGGGGTAGAAACCCTAAACCCTAATAGAGTATAGTTTGGGTGGCCGGGGTGGGTTTACAAGCAACGCGAGCGCGCGGCCCGGGGTGCTTCACACCCGAGCGCGCGACTTCGCCTGCCACACCCTAAACCCTAAACCCTAAACCCTAAACCCTAAACCCTAAACCCTAAACCCTAAGCCCTAAACCCTAAGCGATCTTCAACTTCACTGAATTCCAGGTTGGCCGTGGTATTGCGGCACCAACCATGCGACTGATGGCCGAGCCGTTGAGCTCGAACTTTTCGCATGGCCCTTGAAACCCTAAACCCTTAAGCCTGAACCCATGAATCCCTAAACCCATGAATCCAGGGCCGTTCAAAAAAAAAAAAAACCATGAATCCCTAAACCCCTTTTTACAGCCCCTAAACCCTAACTTAACCCCCTAAACCCCATAGCCCTGCCAGGCCGGAAGAGCCGCCCACACCCTCGCCAGAACCGGTGCCAGAACCATCTCCTCGGAAAGGGAAAGGACTGGGGCATTTTCTCAAAGCTGGCCTGCGCGCCTCTCTTGCTGGGATAGTTTCGCATGGGAGCCAAGGCAACTTTGCCATGAAGATGGGGATGGTTTTTCTTGTCGAGCTTCCGGTGCAGCATGACCTCAAGGGCTGCAGTCTGAAAGCACACCGCAAAGGTACACCTCTGAAGCTACAGCCTCTAGCCATCACTGATTCCACAGTGTGATCTGCAGAGCCCGGGTGACAAGCCGCAATCGCGAGGACTAAATCGGGACAAGTTCATGTCAGGACTGCCTCCAAACTCCAAACTCACCGTAGGTGTGATGCCGCGATGATATCTCACAGAACTGCATCTGCTGCTCGCATTCGTTGTGCCATGTGACGGTAGCACTGGTACCTACAAAGCGTTCACGCAGGTTTCATCGTAGTCCTCATGGTTGAACGGTGTCGTGGCAATGAGATCTCCCACCGCAAACTAACAACTGCATTCGTATCAACAGCAGTAACGTTTGCCTGGCTTGTCCGAGCGTGAGCGCCAAAACATGCAGTAATGCGTTTCGTAGCAGGCAGATGAAGGGGAAAACGGCAGCAATGGGAAAAACAAGAACTGCAGGAACTGTACAGCACTGCACAATCTACAGTAAGTTGTCAAGACGCTTCATGTACAGTGCTGAGAACAAACGCGAACCGTAGTGAAACCGTTCACAACAGCAGTAGTAGTAGTAGTAGTAGTAGTCGTAGTAGTCGTAGTCGTAGTAGTAGTAGTCGTCGTCGTCGTAGTGGTAGTCGTAGTAGTAGTAGTCGTCGTCGTCGTAGTGGTAGTAGTAGTAGTAGTAGTCGTAGTAGTCGTAGTCGTAGTAGTAGTAGTAGTAGTCGTCGTCGTCGTCGTAGTGGTAGTAGTAGTAGTAGTAGTAGTGGTAGTGGTAGTGGTAGTGGTAGTAGTAGTGGTAGTGGTAGTGGTAGTGGTAGTGGTAGTGGTAGTGGTAGTGGTAGTGGTAGTGGTAGTGGTAGTGGTAGTGGTAGTGTAGTAGTAGTAGTAGTGTAGTAGTGGTAGTGGTAGTGGCAGTGGTAGTGGCAGTGGTCGCGGTCGTGGTCGTGGTCGTGGTCGTGGTCGTGGTCGTGGTCGGGGTCGTGGTCGTGGTCGTGGTCGTGGTCGTGGTCGTGGTCGTGGTCGTGGTCGTGGTCGTGGTCGTGGTGGTGGTCGTGGTGGTGGTGGTGGTGGTAGTGGTAGTGGTAGTGGTAGTGGTAGTGGTAGTTGTAGTAGTAGCAGTAGTAGTAGTAGTAGTAGTAGTAGTAGCAGTAATCCCAGTGGTAGTGGTAGTAGTAGTAGTAGTAGTCGTCGTCGTCGTCGTCGTCGTAGTGGTAGTCCTAGTGGTAGTTGTAGTGGTAGTGGTAGTGGTGGTAGTAGTAGTAGTGGTGGTAGTGGTGGTGGCGGAGGTAGTGGTAGTAGTAGTCATAGTCATGGCGGCATGGTTAGTAGAACAGCTGTCCCGAGCATCTTTGCACAATATTTCCACGGCGGTTAAGTGTACACAGGACATTTGCGTGAAAAGTTGCTGCACTTGTCGACAGCGAAGTGTGCACATGTTCTGTCTGTGAAGTCCGTTAACAATTTCTCGTAGTTCCTGTGAGCGAAGTCTTTGACGATGCCTGTCCAAAGGAGGGTCCGCAGCAAGCGCAAGCCCCTCAAGCACCGGCTCCGACGGCAGAGAGGTGCAAGCTGTTCCAAAGTATCACACTTCTTATTCTGGGTTTACGGCTTCCGCTGCTTGGCTTCACGGCCCAGGGCTTTTTAGCTTTTGCAAAAGAGTCGTGGCCCTGTAACTTGCAGGCCAACTCAAAGTCATTTGCATACTGTGGCTCAACGTGACCGACCGGCTAAACTGTGTGGGCCCCTGTCAGTCCTCTGGGATCGTCACGAAGATCCTTCGTCTTCCTTGGATTTTGCTTGTGTTCTGCATGCCTGACCTACAGCCATCCGAAGTGTCTAGTCCTGTTTGGCCAAGCATGGACGCCGCCAGGGGCCGGCGCCGCCGCCGCGGCCAAAACTGGATGACGATGCGAGGCGAGAGAGATGCAGTGCTTGCAGCAGTTTAGTCTCAGATGATACCCTTTCTTCTTGCGTGCGAAGCTTGCCTTGCCCTTTTGTTCTATAGCAACCGATCGCAGTTTTGCAGTGATCTTCCTTGTTCATTCGCTATTTGGCACTTTCTACCTGCTCATGTCCACATCTTTCGCGCGCTCTCCCTCTCTCTCGCTCTCTTCCCCTCTCTCTCTGTCTTTCTCTTTCTGTATATGTTTCTATGTATACGTACATATGTACATAGATGTCTACGCTTGTCATTTCCTGGGCCTTTGTCGGAAAATCTGCAGGTCAGATGCCTCTTCCCCGTCTTCCCCTCGCGGACAAATATCCCCATGGGGACCAATGTCCCCAACAGGAGGCGGCGAGATTTCTGAGTTCGAGAACCTTCATCTCAGGTGTGTAATAGGCGCGGCAGCCTCTTCACATGTAGTACTCTTGCTTCGAACCGCCCGGCTGGAGCTTGCTGCTCAACTGTTTGATCGGTCAGCAATGAAATTCGTCATACTTGTAATCTGTGAATAGTCGTTGTGAAGCACAGCTGCTTTGCACAGCGGTCGCTCCCAATGTGTCGTTGCTGTTCCCGAGAAGCCGACTCATGCACTCAATGCTTGCACACTGTGCAAGGTGGCTCTGCACCTTTGTCCAGATTCCAAATCTCAGGATGCTTGACGAGAATGTACCGTGTTTCATAGGCATCACCGTTTGACGAGTTCGTGGGCTGATCACAGGAGTCCTGCTAATCGTACAAAGTAGCTGCTTATCCGATTTGTCACCCAAGGATCGTGGATACATAGACATAGAGGTGCATAGACGTGTGCCTACATGCCTGACCGCATGCGCGAAGCCTGACAATTCTCATCTTCAGTCAAAGAGAGCTATCGGGAAGCCGTAGGCATGAGATCTTTGACCCGTGCCTGTACAAGCCAGCACATCGGGGCACCGCTGGAGGGTGAAGGGCTTTGACAAGCCCCCTAAGCCTCAGAGAAGAAGAGGCAAAGAGTCTAAGAGAGGAAGAGGGGAGCGAGAAAGAGAGAAAGAGAGAGAGAGCGACAGATATAGCAAGAGATGAAAAGCTGCCGACCACTTGTAATGGCATGACTCGTGCTGCCGTCAAGGAAGGAAAGCTATGATGATGTGACCTGGCAGCGAGAAGTAAGCCGTGCTTCCGACAGGAATATCACCTCAAGCCCCGCCGTACCTGGCTCCTTTTCGGTTCAGCGTGGCTGCAAACCTCAGGGCGAAAATGATCAAGATGAGGCCGTTGCTTCTTCTTGTAGTGTGTTTGCAGTGCCCGCAGATGTCGACAGTTCTGAGTCTTTATCTGGAGCACCCCTTCTGAGCGTGAGTGCCGATGCAGAGTGGGGCTGACAGGCGTAAGGTGGAGGATGTCAGGTTTTGCCGATTGTTGGGGGCATGTCGGGTTTCCGTCTTGATGGCTCCAGTGGAGCCACGGGCTCGGCAGAATCCGCAAGCGTTATGGAGGGCAAGCAGGCAACATTAACATGCTGCATTTTTCTTGGCCATGCCCTCTGCAGGAAACTTGGTCCATATCCTTCCTAAAGAGCCCTTGGGCGTCTTGGCCAGGACTGTCGGCGAGCTTTCCACGGGCGAGGTTTCACGCGGAGACAATGGCACGCCCGGGTGAGGTCATGCGCTGGCTCAGACAATGCAGCCAAAGCCGCGGAAATTCAAGCGTTTTGGCCTTGGCCGTGGTGTCAAGGTTCCAAGAAAAGTGGGGCAAAGAGCTTGGAGAGGGCAACGGCTCCAACCTTGAACATATTCGGCCGAAGACGGTCGCTCGAGATTTCCGCTAATGAGTCGCCTGCTGCCTGGGCAGGCAGATGCAGGCAGCCTTAGGCAGCCTTAGGCAGCCTTTTGCTCTACCACAGAATCTACGCCAATCTGCGCCTGGTGTCGGGAGCAGGGACGACCGGGCTCATCTCTTAAGATCGATAGCACCTTTGCTCTTGCAGACTCCTGCGCCGGCTCGAAGTCCTGCAGAGGCGACTCGGGGTTCACAGACGGGCCTGTGTGGACTGACTAGCATCTTTGGGCTGTGCAAGTTGTCTTATAAGAAAGTTGCACTCAGATGTTGGGCTCTAGCTGGGACTTCCGATCTTGTACGCCTGAGGATGGATAATGCTTCCAGCCATGGCAGAAGGCGAAGCCTGTGCCTGGCCGTCACACGCCTTCTGCGAAATGCGCAGGGGGCAAAATGAATCCTCGCACCTGCCGACCTGCTGAGGGCTGCTGCTGCTCCGTCCTAGAGATCTGGAGACTATGGCCTCCTTCACATGGGAGTTTCCGAAAATAGGGGACCCTAATAGAGTACCCTAAATAGTAGGATCCTTGTTATAAGGACCCCAGAATAAGGTACCCCTAATTTTCGGAAACTCCCACATAGACATTGACAGCTCCAAGTTTGTCCTGGACTGTTAGCAGCTCGCTTTCCCCCAGGTGCCGATGACGGGAGTTTCAAGATCTGGGACACCCGACATGTCGCTGCAGGCCATTTGCTCGTATGGGCAGATCGGATTTGCGTTTCGGGGGCTTGCAGTCAGGTTTGACGTTTCGAGTGCCTGGGAGAGGGAGAGAGAGAGAGGCAGGGTTCTGCCTGTCTCCTACGCCCCTGAGCAAAGCAAAGCAAAACAGGGTTTTGCTGAGGGCTCTTGGATTGGAGAGTCCTACTCACAGAACCATCAATCTGGAGGACCTATGGCCAACTTCAAATGGCACCGGCAGCCCATTTGCTCTGTGGATTGGCGCGGGGACCTGGGCGATCGGACTAGAATTTAAAGCCTCGACAAAGCCTGGCCTGCGATCAGTGACCAATTCCCTTGGCAACGTGTCTGCCGGCCAAGTTAGTGCTACGGCTTGTGTCCGTTGTTGCTGTTACGAGTACGAGCTTTTTGCAGGCATCCGTCGTCTGCCGTCGCTCCGATTGTCGTGGTGACAGCAAGCCACAGTGACACAAGGTCTAAACTAGCATTATTGTACATTGTCATTGTAGTATTTCGTCGTATATCATATCATACTATAGCTCATCACACGTGGTTTATGATCGTGCATTATCGTACATAATACGCTGTGTGCGAGGTTAGTCTGTAGTCTGGCCTGGTCGCCGTGTCTCCCCTCGTCCGTCACTACCATCCCTCACCCGGTCTGCGAGTGAGAGGCTCGCACCGCCTCAAAGTGAGAGGGTTTAGGGCTTTAGGGTTTAGGGTTTGCAGGCGAAGTCATTGCAGCGGAGGTAGCATACGCGATGCTCAACTACACGGGCAAAGATCACGATGGACCAATGGTCCATATGCATGTCGAACTTTGCCGAAGCTTCTACTAGACTTGGCAACCAACTTCTTTTCGAGCATGGCATGCGATGGCATGCGAGCATGGCACAGCTTTGGTTCAACAGCCGGTCCTCCGCGATGAACACTTCCCTACTCCAACCCATATTCAAGCTCCTATGCAAAGTTTCAGACACCAGCAACGACAGCCGAGGGGCCCACGCTACACTTCGGAACGCACCCAAGAAACGACTGGGACCCAGAGTAGGCACTTAATCACCTTTTTTGGGGTTTAGGTTCCCTTATAACCCCCTTTAAGCCAAAAAGGTCACCCTTTTTATTCCTAGGTTACTCTTAGGTCTAGACGAAGATGTTTGTGCAGGCATCCGACAGACGAAACGGTGTTGGCTGTGGCCTCTGCAGACGAAGCTCGGCGGCCACTTCGTTTGGTTCGTGGATTCCAAGTTTCGGGTTTGATACATACATAAGGTCTCGGTTTCAGGGTTTAGGCTTCTGTTTTGCGGCTTTTGGTAGTAGGTTTCAGGGTTTAGGATGAAGAAGGGGGTCAGGGGATCATCCAGTCACTTCCGGCGCGGACTTAGGACTTGTGGGTACAAGATTGCCGGAGGCAAACGGCCGAGGTTGGCATATGTTGGCAGTTACTACTGATCTTTTCTTGTGGTTCAGGTGCAAGGATAGACTACCGCGAAGGCTACCGATTATGCGGTATACCTAAGATCCCACTCGAAGTGTTTCGGCCTGCAAAACTTCGAAAGATGTTTAACCTGCCCCATCGCCGCAGTCATGCAAGCGGGCTCAGGACAGCGCTTCTCTCTGGGACATGGCGGTAGAGGCGGAGCTTTTAGACTCAAGCCTCAGATCCTTGCTCGTGGCCTTGCAGGGTCGTGATGTGCCATCTATCACATTCGAAGAAATCCCAGCCATAGCAGCCAGCATTGAGTTGCTAAACGGCAGGATGCCTTTCCCCTCCCACACTAAACGGCAGAAGCTGCTTTCATGTTCAGCATCGCGTTGCGCCCATGCTCAAACCAATCATTGGTGTTCGCACGGCACCTTGCCAGAAGAGGGATGCGCGCTTTTGCAAACCATCAGGTCAAGTTACACTGCATGTGCAGTCTTGCCTTTTGATTTGGCTGAACAAAAAGCCGTCACCGGTCATCAGCCATGGAGAAGCCATTGGCGCTGGTGGCTAAGCTCCTTGGCGTTAACAAACGTGTTGATTTCTCTTGTTCTTGACGCTTGTGGATATACCTGGCATTGATCTTTCCTGCTTGAATCATCCTTCCCTGCTGTCTTTAATAGGTTTTGCAAAACGTAGTTGTGCTTGTTACAGCTTGAATCAACCTTCCCTGCTGTCTTTAAACGGCTTTACATTTGCAAAACGTAGTTGTGCTTGTTACAGCTCGGAAGCCCCTCAGCTCTCAGACCAGACTCCCTTTTCCCGGATCAGGAGCCCAGAGTTCAAGCGGGGCATCATGGAGGTGTGGCAGCCCAAAGGCCCTCGAGGGCTTTCCGGTGTTCCCCTGTTGCTCCTGGAGATGTTCGTTAAGCCACTGGAGGCCAAACGGCCGGCAGAGACTCGAAATTGAGGTGCAGCATTGAAACCAGAAACAATGGACACGGGCAAACCACCCTTCGCCCGAAAGTTCTGTTGCCAGCCTGGACTTTATCCAGCACAAGGTTTGCCGTGCCAGTGCCGATGTCGGCAGAGGTTGCATGAGTGGAGTCAATCAGTGTGTGGAGCAGCCGAAGCCATGGTTCCTCCCAACCAAACCAAACCTATAGGCCGAACCCTAAACCCTAAACCCTAAACCCATACAACCTGACGGCTCTGAGCAAGCCATGGCCGGGCTCTGCACCAGCCATTGTGCGAGAGCAGCCTTCCAGAAGGAGCAGAAGATCAGAGCTGCACAGAAGCGGCGGCATCGCACGGGTAGAGAACACTAAACGAGCGCCGAAAGCCAGAATGAATGCAGTTTTTTGTCTGCATCCACTTGCTCGGTTCGCCTAGATGTGTGGCAGGCATTGGCAGTGATCCCCCGAGCTTGAGTGTCAAGGAAGTGCAGATCAAGATCCCAGGACTGTCCGGCCTCAGCAAAACTGCGGATCGCTTGTTCTACCAGTTTAAACCTTCAAGCTCCCAGAGAACCCAGTACCCTTAATTAAGGAAGATACCTTAAACAATGGGGGCCTTATTGTCACGGTTTAAGGTATATTCCTTAATTAAGGGGTATTGGGATCTCTGAGCTGGGAGATACCTTCCGGCAGCGGCTGCTGTGAGGATGCGATGAAATCCTGACTTTGCCCGTCTACACCAACACCAAAGTCATTGAGGTCAAAACGCTTCTGGAGGAGTAGAAGTTTGTCGTGCTTCTGTTCTGAACTCGTGCTCTTTGTAGTTATATGTCATAGAAGTGGGATGAATTAAAGCACAAGTGTTTACGCTTCTGAAAAAAGAATCAGAAGTGCAGAGACACAGTTCTACATGTAGCTGCCCATGAGCCCTCGGCATGCAGTGCAAACCATGGCCGAGTTCCTGGTGAATCAGGCTCTGCGCTGTGCTCAGGCACTAGTTTTTGGATTACAGAAGTAAGCCGCCCCGCCGGTCTCTGCTTGTCTTCAGAGTGTTCTGAAGCGCTTGCTGTGCTTCATCCAGCTGTTTCCTTACCTTTGGTTAGTAGGGAATGGAGGAATGGGGTACACTTATAACTACTACCACTACGACTACTGCTACGACGACAACAACAACAACTACTACTACTACTACTACTACTACTACTACTCCTACTCCTACTCCTACTCCTACTCCTACTCCTACTCCTACTGCTACTGCTACTGCTACTGCTACTGCTACTGCTACTGCTACTGCTACTGCTACTGCTACTGCTACTGCTACTGCTACTGCTGCTGCTACTGCTACTGCTACGGCTACTGCTACTGCTACTGCTACTGCTACTGCTACTACTACCATTCTTCCATTCCCTACTAACCAGAGCTAAGTTGCTTGCGCATTCGCAGCTGCAGCTCCTGGAAGGATCGGCTGGGAGTCGATGCGGATCGGCTCCGACTGGTGTACAAGACCGGCAGCAACTACCGACAGCACCAGGACTGCGACGAGATCGCACGGCAAGTGGCCACTTGACTGGGCTTGGGCGTTCCTTCCTGTTCTCTTCGTGAAGAGATTAGATTTAGTTGTGCTTGACCTGCAGGTTCTTCATGGTGTCAAGTCCTTCCGCCGGGTCAAGAAGCACTACGAGTTCCCACATCTCATCATCGGTGCAGGGCACATTGGCCTCAAGTTTGCCATGACTTGGCTTATGGAGGGCGTTACCAACTTCTTGGTGGTGGATCGCAAAGACAAGGCCTGCCAGGGTTGCTATGCGAGGTTGCCATGCCCGCGTGCAGGGTAAGTACAGCGAGTCACATGAATCGCGCCCTGTTACTAGTTTCGTTTGCCAGCAAGCTTACACATGCAATGTAGGCTGCAATTTTTTAAAAAAAACAAGTCAAAGGCAGGGCCGACTGATCAAGGCAAGCAGGGGGATCGCAGGTTCATCTCTGACCGAAGTCATTAGCAAGAGTCTTCCTGTGCGGCCCATAAAAATCATAGCATCTCCAGCTTGTCCCTGTCGGGCACGGGTCATCCCTCAAGCCCTGTTCCCGTCATGACTTCTGCAGCTGCGCTTGCCATTCTCGGAAGTTTATGGTGGCTTTCATTCGTTGCTGCCGTATTGCATGTTCACCTTAACGCAACTGACACCCTTCCTGTTGGTGCTGACTCTGCTGTCACAACTGTGGGCCTTCCTCCGTCTCCTCCTCTTCCAACTTTCAACTCGAAGTCCTGTACATCCACCTCCTGCTCCACCTCATACTCTGTCTCTCGTCCTCCTCCCACCCGCCGTCGTGACGTCGACGACAACGATGATGTCGACGACGAGTACCACTGTGCCCTGCTGCTTGCTTCGCATGATTTCGCATGCTTGCCTCGTCGCGATGAAAACCGTGCTGCCACCTGTTGGGGAACTCGCCCTACTTCGTCTGCATTTGCCAGATTCGCATGTGCCAAAGCACCTTTTGCCTGGCAGGTCGGGGGTGCTTGGACCGGCATTTCAGAATCCTTTTCTCTTTCTGGGGATTCAGAAAGCCTGGTAGACTCCTCCAGGGAAGAGCGTTCGAGCTTCTCCCCTTGGTTTTTGTCGACGTTTGCGGCCGCTGTGCAGTTTGAACGGACACACAATTAGGGAATTAGGGCTGTCGAATTGCACTGTCGAATCTGAATCTAGTAAATTGTAAAAGTAGTAAAACACCCCCAACCCACTGACCAAGCAAGGTACCTCATGGTTGGACCAAGCTAATTCCACGTCTCGACTGCAGACGGAGGTGGAATGCGGGTTTCTTCTTTGTCTTGACTGCTACTGTGTGTTGGTCCAGTTTGTTTAGGTGCCTCAGGTCCTGCCAAGAGTACCCAAGTTCCCAGGACTTCCAGTCCGGTTCGTCACGGCTACACTTCTGGCTTTCGGTTTTCAGCCATTTTTAGCTTGTCAGAAGTCAGATTGCTTCAGCAAGCAGGGCTTCTACGGCTTGAGATGCCCATGTAGACGGATGCGCAGGCAGAGGCGTAAGCAGAGCGACAGGCACGGAGAGGCACATCTCTCGTGACTCTCGTGACCAGGTGGGCGTCTACCACCTGGAGTACCACGAGAACCACGATTGGCCTGCTTGGGGGAGTGACAATCCATGGCCATCGCGGGCGGCTGGCTTGCAAAGCAAGTCGCGGAAATGATGACTTACCCCGTGCCACGTGCGGATGTTGATTCGAATAAGATAGGAGCCAACGGAATGCACAGTCAGACGAGAATCGGATCAAGTAGGCTCGTGACTCCTGGGTAGTTTGTATTTTGGTCTGTATTGGGCTACTGTCTTGGCGGGATGCCTGGCTTGCCCCAGGCAAGCGAGCGTGCAGAGTTCAGGAAAGGAAAACAAAAGCTCACCATAAAGTAGAAGCAACGTGATTGAAGACCGCCTGTATGAGGACAAACTCCTCGAGCACTTCCAGGATGTGTCCGAACGATACGGACTGCTGCCCTATGTGCGGCTGAACACCTCGGCAAATTCCCTCAACGTCATCGGTGGCTCGGCGAAGAGCTTTACTCAGCTCCCTGCCCTTCTGTTTGTGCTCCATCGCGCCACGAACGTGAATGTGCCAGGCTGTCCTCAGTTTTGTCAGGTTTAGGGTCTAAGACTTTAGAGTCCATGGAGACCCGAAAGCCCTCCGAACGGCGACCCGAACAAGCCTCGCCTGCGGGGTTCGAGCAAACCAGAAGTCCCATGATGGCCCAAGGAAAGGAGTATTGGAGCCAGAGCTATGAAGTCACCTTGAAGACGAAGGGCAAGGAAGAAGAGGTTTTCAGAGCAGGCTCCGTGTCGCTCTTCCCTGGAAATCTGACGAATCCGAAGCGCGTTACGTATCCTGGAGAGGACACTTTCGAAGGAGACATAGTTCCTTGTCGGTCACACATGCAGAACTGTTCTTCGTAAGACCCTTGATATCGCCAAGGTTCATGAAAGTTTGTACAATGCATGGGAAGACGTATGGCATGCGGTCACACTTCCCAGTCATGTTCAGGGTCTATCTGACCGCATGATATGCCATCTCCCTTCCAAGCAACTGTAGCGCTTGCTACCTCATTCCTACCAGGTGTATGGCATCAGCAATGCTTTCGATTACGAGAAGGTCCGCGGCAACAACGTTATGATCGTCGGCAGCGGTGCCTTCGCGGTTGAGAACGTTCGAACTTGCGTGGAGTTCAGTGCCAAGAAGGTGTGCCTTGACTGAGAGTGCAGGGGGAGACCGCGCCAAATCTTGGTGCATCGTGCCCCTTTGTTAGTTCTCTCCTTCTTGCAAGGCTCCCCTCCTTGTCTCAGGGGAAAGTTGAGTAAGCTCAAGCTGCATCAGCTTGCTACTCTTGATGTGATATCCCACTGTGAGGTACATGGTCTGCCGCCGGAAGACCATCTCCATGCCACGCCTGGTCTCATGGTTCATCAACCAGGCGGATTTTGGGCCTGGGGAGCAGCTTTCTCACGAACAGCTGAGATTGATGCATGATTCTTGGCAGCTTCCACCCGCCCTTTCAGCGCTGAAGGGCTGGAGGGTCCGGAGCTGGAGGGTTGGAGGTTGTGCACATGCGGTCGGCTTATGCCTAGGGCCTAGGGATGCCTAGGGCCTACATAGGGGTGGTGGGTTGCCGGGTTGTGGATTCGTGGGCTTGTAGAGTGGTTCGGTTCGATGTGGTATTGCCGCCGCCATGCCAAATGTTGCCACAATGGACGGCCCTGCAGACGTGTTCCAGCGATTTACAGATTTGGGTGGGGCTAGGCACATGACATGCTGTTGTGTTTGCATAGCCTACACGACATGGCCACGGTGTACGAGAGAGCGACTGTGAATGACACTCCTGGGCCAGTCCGCGCAAGCCATCTCCGCGAAGCTCACCCTGGATGCCATGACGCCGATGTATGACCCACCGCAGGGGGGAGGGGGGAAGCTTCTGCGTTCACGTGGTAGTTAGAATCGCGAACGATGAGGTAGCCAGAATTAGCTACTCGTTGTCATCAGGTTTTGCCTACAGCAGTGTTTAGTTTTCAAAAGCCTTCGAACAACAGCCGGTGAAACATTCCCGAATTCCAGGCCGCATACCTTGGATTGTTGACTGGGTTCAGCCAGAGTTAGAGCTCCAATCACGGACATGCATAGTTGCCACTCCGTGACCCGGACCGTATGGGTAGTTTGGTGCGGGTTTGCCTTGCAGTTTTGGCCCGCAGAACCTGATCGGCGTGGACCAGTGGTCTTACTATAGCGTCATCACCAATGAGTCGAGGACGAATGTCACGATCAAGCAGAAAGCCCGGTTTGGTATCGGAGATGTGTATTTCCTCGCCGCGGCTGCCGGCTACTGCGAGCACATCGTGGACGACACCAAGAGAGTCAGTGGCAGCACCGTCCACCTGAACAGTGGTCGCAAGCTGGAAGATGTGGGAGCAATCCTCAAACTGTGTGGCTTCAATGGTGAGCCCCTCTGAATGAAGTTTGTGCAATGACCACCAATGTCAGCAAGTAGCCCAACAGGTCTATAGGTTCACGACTTCGCCACACCTTGAAGCAGAGGTTCGCCAACGACCGGCTGCTCAAGATCAAGGAGCTGTATGGTTGGTGGGTAAACAAGGAGTCTCAGATGCAAAAAGTCATGAGGCCGCATCCTTTCTAAACGACTGCTTCACTTGTTCGTCCCACCATTCAAGCAGTATCCACGTCTGCGTTCATGAATCACTTGACAAGAAAGACGTAGGACTGCCAGCTCGCCGAAACTACGCGTCATACACATCTTCGAAACTGCCCCAACGTGCAGCGGACATCTCACAGCCAATCCATGTCCTACTGCATGAACATCGTAGCTCTCAGCCCCGACGCCCGAAACCGTGAGTCGTTCATTTCCCCGGACGAGATGGGCCGCCGGTGGCTGGTTCCACAATGTCTGCTGTCAAGGTTTGTGAAGATGGTACCCACATAGGATGCAGAGGGTCTCAAAAGATCCAAACTCTGAGCCTTGAGCAGGACTTAGCTTCAACACCAGAATACACCATAAACCGCAAGCCGCAAGCCTGCAAAAATCCTGAACGGCCTGAGGATTACCGTCGGTACATCGTAGCTGAGCCGATCTTCGCTGCTCGGACATCACAAGGTTTTAGCCTGGCAGAGCCGTTGCAACTGTGTCCGGTTCTTCGTGCGATTCCAGGTTTTTGCTGTGATGCGTGCGTTCCTGAACGGAAGGAAGGCAGGCAAGAAGACAGGGTAAGGAGGCTAGCAGATAACGATGGCTTCCAAGTCTATGTCGCAGAAGCTGACCACTGTCCCTATGGTCACTGAGTGCAGCCCCACCTCGCACGGTTACAAACGAAAGGCCCATGTCTATACAACAATGGTAAAGCATGGGGTCCGAATGTCCGTGGTATGTAGAACAAATGACGACGTACATGCGTACCTGGGCGCAAAACAAGTTTCTAGATGCCAACTCGTGGTTCCACGAGGAAAGCCCTGGCGTACAAAGACGAGCAAACATCAGTATTAACCTGCTCCCGTTTAGCATTCTCGCTTTTTACACATACAAAGGACAAGCAAACATCAGCATGAACCTTCTGATTGCGCTTACTTGACCAGCCTCGAAAGGGAGATGACCCTTGAAGACCTGCCAAAGACAATAACCTCCCATCCAGGTGAAAAGGCTCCAACTCCAACTTGAAAAGATGCTTTAGGGTTTAGGGTTTTCTGTAGGGTTTTAGGGTTTAGGGTTTAGGGTTTTCTGGTTTTGACAGCTTGTGGTTTGGCCCGTACTTCTGTCACTGCACAAGCCTGCCAGCCTTTGCTGTGCATCTGTCTCTTTGCGTCGGTGCGGCTTATCGCCGAAACCCGATGCACCAATACTCTTAACAAGGCCCTACACCTTAAACTCAAGCTTTCTAGCACCTGTATTCACCTTTGTTGCGCTGGAAGACTCTTCAAAGGTAGATGCGGGTAACTTCGGCTCTACCAGCTTCTCCCCCGGCGCTATCAGCTGGACGGAGACGCAGGCCTGGTGCGGCCCATCACTTGCGATAAAGACTCCAAGGGTATAGGGAGGGCTTCGGCAGTGGTGGTTTACGGTACATTCATGCTTCTGGAAGTCTTCCTGAGCCCCAGCTGCAGAAACTGGTACATCAGTGAACAACTGTTGATGCCCAAACTCCTGCATGACCTAGATCATCGCACACATCTCACGTCGCACTGTCCATTTCCCGGCAAACCACCCTTGGTTTCAATGTTACATCGCCATGGGGTCATGCAGGGATTTTGGGCATTCGCACAGGCCTTGATATTACTCCCTGCATCAAGGCAATATTAAAATTAGGGGTAGAAGGGGAGCCGTGGGTATGTTCAAACTCATGCAGGATTTTGGGCATCAACCGTAGGGTTTGGGGGCTTAGACCCCGGTACATTTTCGTAGCACTCGTGGTCGGTCTTGCTGGCAGGAGCCTGTGGAGTGACATGTAAGCACAGGGCCTTGGCTTCAGTAGTTCTCAATACTATTTGGGAGTATACGAAAATAGGGGACCCTAACATAGTACCGTAAATAATGGGATCCTTATAATAAGGACCCAAAATAAGGTACCCCTAATTTTCGGAAACTCCTATTTTGGAGTTTCTTATTGTAATTCTGGTAAAACTTAACACAAAACCGTGTTCTAATTAGTAGGCGGCCCCCTATACCCGTACAATACCTGCCATGCAGAGCCGGAAGAGAGGTTAATGGCACGAAGAAAAGACCGAAGCCCGGTAAAAGGTAGACCAACTTCAGTTGCCTAGTGGCTTATATATATATATATGTATATATATATATATATCCTTTGTCACAGCGCTGCTTGAACATCCGTGCTGGAAGGCACATCTGTTGATGTATCCCAAAGATTGGGAGCCTCTCTATGAAGGCCAATGCTTCCCAGTGCACGAGGTGGGGGGGTGTACAAACACAAAATGAAGCGTGTTCAAGAGATCTGGGCTCAACAAGGATCACCTACTGATACTACTAGTATTACCACGACTACTACCACTACCACTACCACTACCACTACCACTGCCACTACCACTACCAATACCACTACCACTACCACTACCACTAATGCTACTACTACCACTACTACTACTACTACTACTACTACTACTACTACTACTCCTACTACTACTACCACTACACTACCCTACTACTACTGCTACTGCTACTGCTACTGCTACTACTACTGCTACTGCTACGGCTACGGCTACGGCTACGGCTACGGCTACGGCTACGGCTACGGCTACTGCTACTGCTACTGCTGCTGCTGCTGCTACTGCTGCTGCTACTGCTACGGCTACGGCTACTGCTACTGCTACTGCTGCTGCTACTGCTACTGCTACTGCTACTGCTACTGCTACTGCTACTGCTAGCTGCTACTACTACTTACTACTACTACTACTACTACTACTACTACTACTACTACTACTACTACTACTGCCATTACTACTACTGCTGCTGCTGCTGCTGCTACTGCTTCTGCTTCTGCTACTACTACCGCTTGCTACCCCGGGTACTGCTGCTGCTACTACTGCCAGTCGTACCACGTCAGCCAGTTCTTCAGCTGCATGCTTACCATCGCAGACAGTGTCGGGTCAAGGGCGGGGCTCGAGGCCGGTGTTTAAGAGGACCTCGGGCTTGCATCCTGCTCTCAGATGCTCTCAACATGGGCTCTTGTATCGGATGCTTTTTTCAACATGCTCGGTATCTTGTCTTTTCCTCGCGGAACCGAGTCTCGCTACCGTGACTTCGAGGGCCGTTTCTTTTTGTCCGGTGCGAGGCTGCCGGGTTAGGCCCAGACCCAAAGTGTGAAGGAGAGGTCGGTCGCCTTGTTGGTGCTTGTTGATTGTCGGGGTTCAGCGGCCAAGCTTGCAAACCAACGGGGTGCAGATTCCAGAACCACGTCTCTATCAGTTTATCTGCCTGCACCTTCTTATCTGTATATCTACATACGTATAAGTCTACTACAACCATCTATAATACAACCACACTCCTTCAAGCGCCAAGAGTTTCTGTTGCAGACGAATGTAAGTAGACCTCATACGTTGTTTTGCGTTTCTAAACCCTGTGGATGCAACGGAGAGAGAGAGAGGGAGAGAGAGAGAGGTTTCTGACAAAAAGCTATGCTTGCATGTACCCGATAAGAAATGCGCAGTTGCAGATGCTTATACATAAACACGCATGTACATATGCATACACATGCTTCTACGCACATACATCCGTGTGTCTGTAGCTGCGAATGTGGACAGACAGGCAGGTAGACAGAAACAGACACACCACCGGGTCGCCTAATTGAGGCGGATGAGGAAAACAACCGCCCGGCCTACGTGGTCGAGGCGCCCAAGCCACCTGTTTGAGCCTAGTCCAGTACGCAGATTTTCGTGTAAAGAGCCAACTTGAGCTTCCATATCTGTCTTTGACTACAGGTCTTGTTTTGTGTTGCAGTCTGAACCATCTGATTTGGGGTCCCGTGTCAAGGATGCGGCCGCTAGACTCGGCTTGCATCTTGGTGCACATAAGCAACGGCAGAGTCATGTGACACACTATGTCATCACTGTCATTACCTGTTTCAGATGACCTGCGAACCTCCCTTTACAAACCCGAAGTCCCTCCACCCCCACAGCAACTCCAAGAAGCCCCTGCTAGAACCCCTTCAGAGTCCGAACCCTTGTGCAACTGCTTTTGGCAGGCACTTCACGGGTCCCTGTGTGGCTTGACCTTAAACGCCATGGTTCGAGGCACATGTCGTTTTTGCGATGCATGCAGTGACGCATTGAATGTAGGATCCTTTAGCATTATCCGGAATCCTGGCTGTATTGCAGGCATTGCAGAGCGCGGGATGGTGACAGGCCCACTGAAAAGGCAGCGGCAGCTTGAGATCCATCCGCCAGAGAAGTTTCTGGAATGCTGCATCTTGGCATTTGTGTTGAGAAGACGTGCACTTGATTCGGGGAAAGGCTTACATAAGAATGGTAAAGGGGCGTGGTCTGATCGTGGGGTACAGGGCTTGTGCTGAGCCGCTGCTGGCCCGGAAGGGCGACTCAAAGTGTGACAAGCGTTTTGATGATCGGATCGTTGTCTTCGGGCCCCTGTGCTTTCATAGACGGCATACTGCTGCTCTGCAGGTAAGCGAGAATGGAACGAGTGGAAAAAGACGATCGAAGACCTCGGGTACACAGGTGCTCCAGAGCATCTTGCAACGCATTCAGCCTCAACCCCCGAACCCCAAAGACCCTAAGCCCTTAACCCCAAGCAGCTTTTCTTGAGCGCGTGTCGAACAACCAGGCTCTTTGAGCAGTTTCGGCTTGACCCGAGGTATCCCTACACCTTAGACATGGTGAAGGACCTCATGCAGCAGGAGATGACGGAACTCGCAAGACTGCAAGCCAGAATGGGACAAGCGGGCAGATGAGTTTTGCCAGAGCTCCTGAAAGTTGACTTGGTCAGAGGGGATTTGCCCTGTGTAAGGCTCTCCCTGTGTCTTCCTTCCTAGCATGGCCCAAGTCTCACACCGCCAGGTGCAGCAGTCCGAAGCACGGCCACGGTTCTAGTTCGATGAAAGCTGAGAAACCCCAGTCTTCGCAATGTTGGCGAGAACCCCCCCCCCCATCATAGTCAAACCGGGGTTTAGGGTTTAGGGTCCGGGCACACAATCCAAGCCCATCCTGAAAAAGGCTCCGGGATCGATTACGCGTTCTCGGGGTTTCAACACGAAGTGTCGGTTTATGCGATGTGTTTCGACCGTCTGCCAACCTGCTTCAGCAACCTGACTTTCTCTCGTGATGGAAGCTGGCTTGTGACCGCCGAAAAAGTCCAGCATGCTGCAGTTCTGGAAGCAGTGCCCCAAAGCTTGGAAGACAGTTGGAAAAGCCTCTGCACTTGATTAAAACCCGAGCTTTGTCGTGGATTTGTTGACAGGAGCAGTGTCTCAGGTTAATCATGTGTTTGCCGTGCCGGTCTCAGAGAAGCTTCATGGTCAATCGTAGCATCCCCCGTATTTGGTTCGCTTGGACCTCCTTGTTTGGGGATCATGACTTTGGATGCCAGGATGATGCACCCGGCCGGCCCCACAGATGTTGGCATCTTTTGACTGCCATTCCAAGGGCATGCAAATGGACGCCCTGAGGATGCTGTCGCTCACTGTGATATTCTGAGGTCGTGATATGCCCCCTGGTGCAGACCATTTCCCGCCGCAGCTGCTGTTCTTGCATCAGGTCGACGGACCGTTGCTAGGACCTTGCACCCGAGCCCTGAGTCTTGCACTAGATGTGAGTCTGCAGGGACAGAAAGAGCCAAAGGAGTTGCGGCCGGATCCTTGTGTGGGCTGGTGGTTGGTTGAATTTGGGGGGGGGGGGGGCAGGGCGGGCAGAAAAATGTCACGTGGACTTCGGATGCATGCAGCTTGCTTTTGAGTCAGCGGCATTCGCCATTTCCCAGGTGGCACCCTCAACTCCCGAGCGTATGCATTGTCACTGCTGCAAGTGACCCGACAGCAGCAGACGAGATTTCTTTAGTTGTCGATGTGATTTTTGTAAGGCCAGTGGTTTGTGCATTCATGCTGCGCACCAAGGTGGGTTCAACATTTTCAAGACCTGCAGCGTGTCCTAATGGTGGAATCCTGGAGTCATAGACTAGAAGCGACGCTGCTTTGCTTTCTGTTGCTTGCGTGTGAAGCGTCACTTGCATTGACGTGGCAATTGCACGGAACTGCACGCAACTGCAGGGTTAAGCCTTACGCCGCTTGAGCCACCTTTTATCTCAGGCAACATCTGATGGACATCACCATGAGCGAGATGCCCAGAGAACCCAATACCCCTTACTTAAGGAATATACCTTAAATAATAAGGGGCGAGAGTATGATGATTGAAGGTATATTCTTCAAACCCTAAACCCTATAGATCCCTTATAGACCCCTTTAAAGGAACCCTAACCCTAGCCATTCCTTAATTAAGGGGTATTGGGATCTCTGGGTGAGCTGTGGGCCCGATCTCAGAACATCACGGTTTGCACGAGCCACGAGATGCTGCACAGGAGCCACGGGATGTATAGGGTCAGACATAGCAAATAGTAGCGACTCCACGGTATTAGTATTGTTATCATTATCTTGATTATTAGTATTTCTATTGCTCTGACGATTATGCTTATCACTACTATGATGATGATGGTTATGTTAGTACTAATACTAGTATTATTACTGTTACTGCTCTCACGAATGTGTTCTGGTTGGTCGTGCCGATAAACCGGCACTCGCTCCACAAGTTGGTGGTGTTCCAAGCAGAATGCGCGACCCGCACAAAGAAACAATCATTTTGGCTTTTGGGGTTTGGGGTTCTTTTGGCTTCTGTTGTCCTTTGCCGAAGGCGGTTGGGCCGTAGAGCTGCGCACATGGCATTGAACCTCGATTGGGGAGAGTTACCGTTGCTGTGCCGTTTGTTCTTGTTGCAATGATGGCGACGTGTTCTGATTATGTTGGAGCCATGCGGGCCCCGACCCACATGATTTTCCGATCACTTGCAATTTGGGCTCAGCTTTTTGATGGACGGCTGGCAGGGCCCCCCGAGACTCGCCCTCACAGAATGCGGCACACACGCACAGCCCATGCCCTTGCCACACGAGTCAGACGTGATTTTTCTTAGCAGCTTGAGCATGCAAACACATGAGGTAACTCTCCCAGCAACCCCCAACCCTTAAGCCCCAACCCCCCACAAATCTTCCACTTACCTTAAGCGAAGTGCACAACCCACGCCCCCCGCTGCGTCCGCGCGGCATGCCCCCCGCAACTGCTGCCGCCTGGGGCTGAGTCAGAACACAGGGACAGGACAGGGTCCGTCAACCCGCACCCTTAGTCCGCCCGCACATGACAGTGCGATAGTTCATCCATCGTTCGCAAGTGTTATGGATGTTTGGCAGATGCACAGTGCAAACCCTCTGGGACGTTCTTGGTGCCAATTCCCGAAACTGCAGGACCCAACATGTCCAGTCGCTTGCAAATAGATAGGCAGAACCCATCTCCACCTGCCGACTACGGACACGCTGCGATCTGGTGTAGTTGGCATTTTTGAACCTGCCAACCCGCTTGTGCTACTGCTAGGTCCACCACGTCGCAACAAAGGCTCAGGTCAAGAAGGCAGCCGGTGCTTCGTTGTTTTGGAAAGGTTTCAGATGTGATTAGGGTACCCAGAGACTCCATTACCCCCTAAGTACGGAATATACCTTTAATCAGAGTAGGATCCCTAATGTTGGAGTCTCTGGGTATGCTTCAACTTGCATGTTGTAACATTCGAACAGTCTCAGAAGCTTTCGCGATCCACCAAGGGCACGCATTGGACATATCCGGGAATTGGCAATGGGTGAGCGAGCACGTTGTCCCAAGAAATGGGTGTTTTCGAAAATAGGGGACTCTAATATGGTACCCTAGATAGTAGGATCCTTGTTATAAGGCCCCCAAATAAGGTACCCCTAATTTTCGGAAACTCCCAAATACCAACTTACAGTACCCCATCATGCCACCAGAGGAATCTCCTCTCCGAATACCTTAACACAACTGGGGGGACCTGGTTCAACATGGCAAGTTCTGTGTCTGTGTGGGTTGCAGCCCAGGTGTTGTCGAGTAGTCGGATGGTACTAGCAATGCAGCCAGTACAAGCACGAGCACGACAGTACTAGCAGCATCAGCGAGGCTGGCGCGAGCTCAACACGAGTTGCACTGATACTGGCATTCGTAGTACTTGTTGTAGTATTGGTACTATAGGTCTGAAGAGCAGCAAGCACAGACCAAAACACACGTGCAGCAGTAGTAGAGCTTTAGTTGTTACTGTGGTGCTGTACAGTCTTCAAGAACTAGGGCAGTTTATGCATCAAAAGCGGTGTGAACTGAACTGCCAGCACTGAGCTATTCTTAACTGCGGTCGTAGCTGAAGATGCAGGGACATTTTTATGCATTTGTTTGTCTGAGTCTCTTTGTTTAGTTGTGTGTTCGTTTGTATGTCCGGATGTGTTTGTGTATTTTTACACAGGTGTTCATGTCCATGTGTAGGTGTGTATGCGCATATACTTATACTTCCGGCACTTTTTGGTACTGCCTCACTATTCTTATGGCTACTCCGAGCCTTGCAGCCCCTGCAACTGTGTTTGGTTCACTTGACATAAGTGGCTTTGGCGTAACGACTCGCTCAGGATGGCAAAGATGTTCGAGCCTCACTTTGGATTGCAGTGCATAGGCATAATGTAGGGGCCTCGTCTCAATAATGATAACTATAGTTATACTAAGGAACCCCCCCAAAACCCTTTTCAAATTATTAGGGCACCTACATCAGTTGGGCGATTAGCTGAAAAGAAGCTGTCGTCGTCCTGCTCACGATGACTCCCAGTATCGCTGTCGCAGAGCAGCTTGCATGCAGGCTCCACCCGTGCTGTTCTGCCGAACTAGTAGGAGGATAGTCCATATCAGAGATAGGTTCGCAGACCACAGCGAAGCTGCCAAGATATGTTTTTTTCGAGCTGGAGCATACTGGTACTGAAACTTCCTCTGCCAGAACTCCGAGCTAGAAATGTCCGAGCATTTTCCTCAACTGTTCGACCAAAGTGGAGGTAGAAACCTGACTGGGCCTCAACGAATGGTGGAAGTTCCCACAGCCGCAACATCCGAACGTCCGCTGCACGCCCAGGTGGTTCAAGACAGTGCTCCTCTAGGGACACCCCGTGAACCCATCGATGCCGGGAGCCTGAGAACCTCTTTCAACCCCTTGCATCCCAAGCCAAGGCAACAACATGAGGTGTAGGACCGTAAGCTCAGCACACAACTGGCCCCAAGGCAAGTGTCGAGTTGCTGTTGCACTTTTATACTGGTGTGTTTGAGCGAACATCTCTGTTGCCACCAGTTTGGGTCTAGCTTGATTTGCGGCCCATTCCCGGTGATGATAATGATGAAGACAGCCAACAAGACTTGAATGGTCAGTTTGGTGGACAACACTGCTTTCCCCGTCGCGGGCACTCCCCTTACCTTAGAATAGGTCGGGGCAGCCTTGCCGGCATCATCATCCCTGCTAGCCGTCAAAGATTGTGCGAATCTTCTTTCCCTCAAGCTAAACACCTGCACTTGCTGAATTCAAGCTTTTTGCCTGTACGGTCGATTGAATTACCAAGGCTCGGGTGTTTGTTGTCTATAGCTTGGAGGTTCAGATTGTGATACATGGTGGTGCAGGGGCTAGAGCTAGAGTTTAGAATTACGATGAGGCGTTTCTTGCATAAGTTCCGGTTTGCATATTGCTTGTCGGGGTCCAGGGTCTTGTGTTTGATGCTAGGCTTCCGGTCGAAGGTTTCAGTTTGGCGGCTAGGCTGACAGGTTGATTTCGGCACGTAGTAGTATGCCGAAGAATCCAGGTTGCGTAAGGATTCTATGTTTTGAAATTG